GCCACCGGAATGGTTGATGACTACCTCAGAGAGAGGAAAGCGCAGCATTGAGTAGTTTCGTTTACTTTCCATGGTTCCTCTTTTCTTTCAAGAACTGCCAGGTACGTGGCCTGTGTTCATTTGGCATCCTTTGGACTGTGCAGCAGGTGGTCAGGGCCAAGTACCCCCTCGCTCTCATCTATATGTCTGCATTAGTAAGTGAAGCCACGCTGTGGGACCCGTTTGGGCAGAGCTCCTAGAGGCCACCTGGAAGGAACTCGCTTCTGGCTCAGCAGCCTCATCTCCTTGAACCTGTGGATGCGAAGCAGCGCAGCAGGTGCTCCGTGCACGCAGCTCCTTCCTCTGCCTCCTGCCCGTGACGTCAGCGCAATGTTGATCGATCACGTTTCTAAACAAGCACACCTGGGGGTGCCGTTTGCCTAATGAAGACGGCACTGCCGGCACTGCCGCTGCCTCTGGTACCCCACGCCCCGCACTCCACGCTCAACCCCACGGAGAGAGGGAGGAAAGGACTCACCTAAAGCCAGGTGGCTGTCAGCCGGCCTCCATGTACCTGCACACACCAGGGCTTCTGTTCGGGCTCTTCAACACTGTGCTCGCATGTATCTAAGCCTTTTCCTAACACAGTACCAACGAGTATCTCGGTTAGTAATTCCGAGAGGACCTTGGGTTCAGTGTTGTCATTCACCCTCGTGTTCCTTTGTCACAACGCAATTGTAAAAGCCCACAGAGATGTCAGTGGCAGTGCTGACTGACTTGTAAACACTCTTTCATAGTTTCTTTAAAAAATAATGCATGCCCTGGAAGTCGTTTTTGTTGTAACAAGCTCTAATTAAAGTGTTTCACCACTGTTCATGCTTTCTCTACCTCCATGAAATAGAAACCTAACAATTAGCATAGCTCATAAATCACCTCAGGAGCTGGTGTGCCCGGATGCCACGCTAACCCTCCCCGTCAGGATCTCTGGCATGAGGCCTGGCGTCTCTGTCCACCAGGCGTTCATTCGGATGCACACTCAGCTTTGAGACTCACTGGCCTAAGTCAAATGAAGGTAACTTTCTGAACCATAACAAAACACCAGTAGGAAATGCTAGACTAATAATAACCGTTTGCTTACAGTTTCACTTTAACTATAGTTTTGGCTATAAACATTCCTCTCCCATGTTCATAACCACCAAGTAAATTAGTATTTCAAACCTTCAGTTTCAATACTGTATGGGCAGGGTACCCTGACGATTCAGGCTGGGGCAGGGACCTTGTCGCACAGCAGCTACGGAAGTCTGCTGACATTCTAACACCCGACTCCCATGACTTCAAGCGAAACTGGCTCTCCCTGGAGTGTTTATTAAGGTCTAGTTGAATTAGACATCTGTTTGTCCTAGGAGCTCTGCAGAAAGATAAGCTGGTCTTCATCTCAAAGAATTTAGAAAACATTAAGTATTTTGCATAAAGAACTTTAAAGATAAAACGCCTTGAGAATCGGTTAAGTTTTTACAGCATGGTAACAAAGTAGTATGTTCAATTGAATGGACTTAGCAAATGCAATTTAGTCTCTATAAGCCTCAAAGAAATAAAGCTTTAGTATACTTTGGTTTCTTTTTTTGAGATCAAAAGTAGTTGTTATAGTCTGACTGTCCCCCCAAAATGTGTATGTTGAAATTCTAACCCCCAGATGATGGTGTTGGTAGGTGGGGCCTTCAGAGATGATCAGGTCATGAGGCCGGAGCCTCTGAGAGTCAGACTGATGCTCTCAGCGCAGGGAGCTCCCTAGCCCCTTCGCCACGCGAGGACACAGGAGTCTGGGCGCTGCGAGCCCTCGCCAGGCGCCTGGCTTGGCCATGCTGGCCCTGGCCTGGCTGCCAGCCCATGCCTGTGAGAAAGAAGCTCCTGCTGTGAAGGCCCAGCGTGTGGTGCTTTGTGACAGCAGCCCCAGCAGCCCGCAAGGACTAAGACAGCACTTGTTTGAATATTTTTACATATCGAAGAGTTTTAAAAAATGAAATAAAGTTCCTCAAGTTCAGCTATATTACCACATTTTCCAAAGATCAACTGTAGGATGATTCACTGTACTTTTTTATTTGGGGGCCTACTATTTAACGACACATACCATGAAAGGCAATGAAAAACAATACACAGAAATGTGCTTCAAGACCAAAATATCCAAAATAAATCTATATCTAAAAGCAAGACATACATTTTACAACACTTAATCAGCTGCAATAGACCACAGCTTTGACAGCAAATTTTAATCTCCAGGCTTGATAATTTCCCCTGTGGTGTATTCTTCCCCCACCAGGTGGCCGTATGTTACCCTGTCTGCTCAGGCAAGTTTCTGCCTGAGAAATCAATCACCTCACACAGAAGTCATCATCCTATCATTTTTATTGTAAGTCAATTCCTCAAAAACTTCAGAACTGTTCAGAAGATAGATCCATTTTTTCGAGACCCTTGATAATGATTTGAGGGTAAAACTGTAAAGATAGGTTTGATTATATTATGAATAATGTTTAAGAGAGTGCAGATATTTGAAGACATTTTGAACAAGCCAGGAATGTGTCATTGAACTAGGTTATCTGTGTTGCTTAAAAGTCCCTTTTACTGGGAAGCATATATATCAGCCTCAGTGGTACATACTTCAAATCAACACTGATTGTTTTAAAATTTCAAACAGAACAACACAAGTTTAAGAATTTTAAGTACATTTTATTAAGAATGTATCCCTTTGATAAGATTATGCTTCAGGAGGCTTTTAATGCCCTTGACATAAACTGTACACATTATACAAAAACAAGAAAACCACAAAAAAAAAAATCAAGGTGAGAAAAACCATTTAGGGACAAACCTTATTTAAATTATACACAACTCAATGAAATATTCTTACGGAAAATATATAAATACTTTTTCTTTCTATGTTACAGTTATACAATATAAATCATATTTCAATGTCTGTTCAGTGACCTACAAACACCAGAACCTCCAAATATGTAGCAGCGTATTACTAAATTAAAAAAAGAAGAAAGTCATGTGGTCAGGGAGCATTAATCTGAGATTTTTTTTCACAATCCCTTACCACTTTTCAAAACTAATTTACACCATTTGTTTTACAATGCAGCATCAGGGTTTCTGACAGGCCAATACTGGAACATTTCCAACTATTATCTATGAAACATTTTTATCTCCCCCCACCTCTGCCCCAAAACTTTGCATTTTGTGCTAAATCAACCTTTTTAGTGGCAAAATTACAAGGTATACTTTTTTGGCATAAATTATCTTTCTCAAATTAAATATTTTATTTAAAAAATCAAACAAAATGTGCAATTCATGCATGCTGTGGCATAGCTATCCACCTACATTACAAAAACACTCCCAAGGGGGGAATCCGCATTCCGTGTTGGTCATACAAACCTACTATGAATGAAAACTACCCTGGGCACCTGGGACTGAAAGAAAACAATAGTGCTCCTAGAAAGGGTTCAGATTTCCATGTCCTTTGAGAAACACTGCTGTTGATTCACGGGCATGCTTTCGTTACGAAACTCTCACTGAAGGACTACTGGTAATCATGTATTTCCTGACTGGCAGATAAGGGAGACCTTTCCCAACTTACATTTTGGAAAAGCTGAAATGTTCTTTTATTCCAACAGTTCTGGTAAAACTCTGGCAATGAACTCTACCTTTTCTTTTCCCTATGGTTTAATGGGTTGTGAATCTGAGATAAAACTGGAAGCACAGGACAAAGGGAAAAACCTTACTTCCAAAGGACCCTTTTCCAAGGTAGTTTACAAAGCTCATCTCACACAAAATCAGCACCTCCCTCTCACCATGCAAAAATAATTGCAGTTATAATTTGGATGACAATTTGGTGTTTATTGCTTAATCATCTGTGCTTAATGTGGGATAAAACGCATCCTCTGAATGGAATGAAAATCTGTATATAAACAGCAGTAGACAAATCTAAATACGCATGGACACCCCATTGTTGAGCACTTTGCCATTGTAATATGCCCTGAAAAACTCAGCTTTAATTGTTCCAAGCTCCAGATAAAAGAGCTGAAAACTATTAAAGACAACATTTTAAAAGGACTTGCACACATATTAGAGTAACTAGTATAGTAATGTATATACCCACCTCCGAAGAGCCTTTTTTTAATGTCACTGTCTTACAGGATGTCCAAATGCTACCAATCTTCATTAAAAAATTTTTTTATTAGGGAGAAGAAACTTTTCCCCTCAAATCTACCTAAGCATAAACAGGAAATAAAAATGTAAGAAATTTTAGATCATATTTAATTACGAATACTAATTTCTAATTTTATCAGTATTTATTTAGTAGGTGAAGCTAAAAATCTGTTCTTGAAAAAAATTTCAATTAAAAATACTTTACTTTACTATTAGAAATTCACAGTTTACAACCAGCACAACTGTCCAAATTCCTCCAAATTATCAGTAATTACCAATAGTACAGATTTATATGAACTAAGATTAATCCTAAAATCTTGAAAACCTATAGTACTGACATTATTTTGGTATTTTTTAGTCTGGTAATATCTATCATTTATAGATGATTTTCTCAATTACTTCTATTACCACTGACCCCATTCCTAACCTGTTCTGCTATAATTTATTATTTTTAAACCCCTAAGGTGATCGATCACTTGGCACTGCATGTGAGCATTTTTCATCATTAATGTCTACTTTTATACAAACAAGTACTCAAAAAGAACATATTCGACCTGTCAGTGAAACATATACACTTAAGTACATTTGTTCCTTAAATTACTGATAACCAAAAAGCTCTGAGTGTCTCCCCAAACTAAGTGCTATAGGCAAATATTAGGATGCATACATACAAGTCTTTCAAAGTAATTATAAAAACACAAACAAAACAGTTCAGACAAACAGTAATGAGACTTCATTTCAGGATGGACGAGTGAGGTGGGGCCCCGGGATGGGGATGATGTGTGTGACAAAAAAGAATTACTGTTACCTTCTGAGGGGTAAAACCACAGATTTTATACTCTCTATTAATATTAACTGAGGTAGTGTTTAAAATGAATGTCTAAAATAGGTTAATCCCATTGTGAATAAGATTACTATGTTACTGCCTTTGGAGTTTTTAACCACTATCTGGTCTAGTATCTCTAACATTTGGTTCTCTGGAAAGCAGTTTAATCACCCAAAACCAAAGACCAAGGTGACAGGCAAATTATTGTCGACATTTAAATGAACATTTGGGTTAAGGATAAGTTGAAGTATAAAAAAGTATATTTTGTCTTCAATTGGATTTGAGAGGAAGTCTAAAGAACCACTTTTTAACAGAAGCAGCAGTCCAGCCCTTGTCTGCTTCGTAGCATGTCACTTGCTACACAGTGCACATGAGAACAGTTCGTGAAGTGCAGTCAGAGGTGTTATAAAGTAAGATGAAATGTTTCATCCCAGTGGGAACTTTCAGTGCCAGTTAATTAAAAAAAAAAAAAAAAGGTATTTCTGTGAGTTCTGCTTTCTGGTTCACAGGGTTCTTTACAGAGATCTCAGAGAACGAGCCCATTGTAAAGAGGATCTGTGACCTGGAAAACATGAATCAGTGTGTTAGGATGATGTCAAAGCTGATGTGTGACTGTAAAAATGGCATACACAAATGATTAAAAAAAGGGTCCTAATTAGTCCAGCTGGAATTTTTTTCTATTTATATATAGACCTTAAAAAATGATCCTTTCATTTACAAGCATTCTAATGATGATTGGCCATGCTATTTTTATATACAAATTTGCATATAGGTTTAATTTCTGTTAGACATATACAAATTAAACACATAAATAAACAAAACCTTGCCTCGTCAACTTAATTTCACAACTGTGACCAAGGCAATTACTGTACTCATAAACTAACCAATCACTGCATTTAGTTTGTGCAAAACAAGAACACTGACATAAACATTAAATTACTGCTGCTTTAAAATTTGGTACTTAAGGCTTTTCACTACAATTTTTAATCATAATAACAGTGTCATTAATAATTTTTAAAAGGAAATATGGCTTTTCTTTTCCCATGGAATGTGTAGTAAATTGTAGGCAAACTTAACTTTTCCTTAAAGTATCATTTAATGCTTTCTTTTGCTTTAGGTCTGCATTAATAGTGCTTATTCAAGTTCCTGTTTAAAATGGTAATATGGGAAGAGGATGAAAACGGCAGTCCACTGAACACATATATATGCACTCTAGAAGTGGGAAAAAGCTGAACTGTAAAATGATTTTCTGATTTCAATCAGGAACTGTAGTGAAAAACCTTAAATCGGTTCAAATAGCCTATAATAACAACACCTTGGAACAAAACTGAAGAGAAGGAAAACAAATAAAAAACTTTATGAAAATCTAATAACATAAAAATAACTTATAAGTCCCGGGTCGTTGAGGCTCTTCTTTCGCTTTGAGGTTACAAAGCTCTGACGTAGTGTTACAGACACTAGGGAAAGTTCCCTCTCATACCAGCAGTTACAGCACAAACCATTGTGCTGACGGATGATGTCTCGGAGACACTGACTCCTGGTTTCCATAAATTAGTTAACAAACAAGGCATGTTTTTATTTGCCCTAAAAAAGGGTTCAAAAATAACTGTGTGAAGGGTGCCTCTGTGTATCCTATTATTGTTCCACTGTTGTTATGCACGTAAAATGAAAAAATAGAAAACCTATGTAGGTATTCAGTGCTTGGCTCTTGCATACAATGGTAACTAAAACTTTTAAAACTGTGGTAATGAACAGTGAACCCCCAAAGGGGCTCCAGGGGAGAGAGGAAGATGTTTGCTTAGGGAAGTCGGCAGTTCCACTGTTCCTGCACCCAAACTGTTGGCACAGTGCACAGAAGGCGCTCCTGTCCCTGCTGCCCCGTCCGCGGCGTTGTCAGCGGCGTTGACGAACTGCACAATGTGAATGTGTGAATAGCATCTGCCTACATACATCCTAAACAAGAGGTCAGGACTCTGCCGATGGATCAACTACAGGTTGCTTTGGTGGTACTGCCAACACAGCCTCTGCTTCTTCATGCATCTAGGGAAGAAGTGGTCCAATTTAATGACTTTCTAGTATATCAACAGATATCATCTCTCTTTTAAACACAGAATTATTTTTGAAAGATAAATTTCAGTACAAATTCTACTTACTTGTAAAAACTGTACATCTTGAAATAATTCTTGTATGAATCTCCGACACTGAAGTCTAAACGTGCAGTGTGCCAGCAAATGGGAAACCTCCGAGTAAAGGCAGATGTCATCAAATGTCTGTGGATACTTCTCCTTAATTCTGTAATGAAAGGCAAGACTATGGAAGAAAACTATAACAACAGCTACTTTTGCCCCAGAGTATCTCTGTTTAAATATTCTTTCTCCAGATACTAATGATTAGATGGCATATCTGGGGTGATGGTATACGAATATAAAATATTAAATATTCCTACTTCACACTTAAATTAGAAAACTCACGTTTTGAGTTCTCTCTTAAAATAATCAAAACCCAAATGTTTCTTGAAAAGTTAGAAATATTCTTTTTCACTGGCATGAGAAATTGCAAAATTTATTTACCAGTCTAGGATGACTCAAATATTTTCAAAATTAATGTTTTAAAATAGAAATAAGTTTGTGTTTTTTTTAAGTTAGACTGAAGTTATTGATGCCCTGGACTGAGCTATCTGTTTTATCTTTCAACCTTTAAACAGTAGCTTTCACAGGACAGCACCTGAGAATCAGTGGTGGGGTGGACCGGGCAGTACACAGCTCAGGGCCATGACTCTAGAGCCCAGGCCAGCCTGCAGTGGGCCCCTGCATCTGCGTTACTACCGTGTTTAAAGTCTCTGAGGAGACCCTGAGGCGTTTCTCTTTTGAGGACCATTGCTTTAAATCGTACAAACCCAAAATGGTGAATATATAGTCTTTTACCATGTTGCTGTGATTTAAAAAAAACAACAAAAATTCTGCAATTTTTATTGAGAAAAAGAAGGAAAAATAGGGGAAAATTAACCCAAGAAAATATCATTTTTAAGTAGGCCAGCTTTTTTCATGCCTGGGATGAGGAAGAAAACAAAAACAAAAAAACTTTTTGGGCTCAGGATTCCCTTACTTTCTTAAAAATTACCAAAGACCCCCCAAAACTTATTTTTTGTGTGGGTTATGGCCATAAATAATTACCATGTTAGAAATTAAAATAAGAAACTTTCAAAATATTTATTCATTAAAGAAATAAACCCATTACATGTTAACATAAATACATATCTATACTACTAATAAAGAAATATGCAAATTGTCCAGGTCACCGTCACAATAACAGTAACAAATGAATAGCAGGCTGCATGGGGCGACAAGGCTGGCAGGGGGGTTAGTGAAGGATGACCAAAGGACTGAAAAGCAGGCTACGTGGGGCGACCAGGCCGGAAGGGGGGTTAGTGAGGGACGACCAAACGACTGAAAAGCAGGCTGCATGGGGCAACCAGGCCAGCAGGAGGGGCAGTTGGAGGCAACCAGGCCAGCAGGGGGGCAGTTGGGGGCAACCAGGCCGAAGGGGGGGCGGGGGGGGGGGGGGGACAGTTAGGGGCGACCAGGCCGGAAGGGGTGGCAGTTAGGGGTGATCAAGCTGGCAAGCAGAGGTGAGTGTTTAGGAGCCAGCAGTCCCGGATTGTGAGAGGGATGTCCGATTGCTGGTTTAGGCCTAAACCGGCAGTCAGACAACCCCCAAGGAGTCCCGGATTGGAGAGGGTGCAGGCTGGGCTGAGGGAAGCACCCCCCCCCCCCCACATGAATTTCATGCACTGGGCCTCTAGCATTTTAATAAAAAAAATAACTAGACTTTCCAAAACTAGAAAAGAAAGAGTAGTATTATTTCACATTTCCACTGATCTCTTTAAAGTCTGGCTGAAAGAAGACAGCTGGGTTAACACACCTGCTTCTGCTTCAGTCTGTTATCACATGTCATTTGGTTGAAGTACATGAAGAAAATCTAGCCTCACACAGATATGCCATCCTGAGAACTACTGATGTAAGCTACCTTTTGAAGTTATTTCAAGTATCTTTTTCACAATAAAAAGCAGAACAAAGAATACTCAGGCTTGGTATTAACTTACGTTAAAAGCCCAGTTTCATGACATTTAGTTGAAACTGAACTACTCAAGTTAATGACTAATCTTAGGACTTCTTTGCGAAGGAGTATACGGCACATTGGTGTATCATCTGGAATTGTTTTAACACCTGAAAAGAAGATTAAAATATTTTATCTATATCACAATAGAAAATGTTGTAAGAAATGGAATTTGTTGTTAAACTTTATCTAAAGATTTAAAACTGGGCCCTGGCCAGCTTGGCTCAGTGGATAGAGCGTCAGCCTGTGGACTGAAGGTCCCAGGTTCAATTCCTGCCAAGGGCACATGCCTGGGTTGCGGGCTCGATCCCCAGTAGGGGGCATGCAGGAGGCAGCTGATCAATCATTCTCTTTCATCATTGATGTTTCTATCTCTCTCTCCTTCTCCCTTCCTCTCTGAAAATAATAAAGAAATATATTTTTTTAAAAAGATTTAAAACTGAGATAAACTGCACATACTCTGATCATTTGGGAACAAAATTCTTTCTAATGAAAGGAGACAACTAAGAAGGTACATATATATGTTAATATAGTTAAGTGCAATAATTGGCTAAACAGGCCTCACTAAAATGGATGTCATAGTTCTGAGACAACTTTAACAATATTTAGGAACAACAATAAACTTAGTTTTATTAACAATGCTGGCATTTGAATCTAACAACTTACCTAGCAGCAATTCTGTGCTTTTGGTGCTGCTGGCTGAGCCTTCTTGAGACACGCCATCACTACATCCAGAAATCCCTGAGAACTTAGAGGGAACCACTTCTAAGGGATTATGGAGAGTCTGCTCGCACCAATCAGAATATGGAATGTCTTGAAGGTCTGAAGAGAAAGATCAGTTATTTCAATTAAAGTGTCTCAATGGCTTAATTCCTGTGCTTGTATTGTATACCATAGAGGAGATGCTTCCTTGTAATTTCTGTCCAGTTTCCAACAATTATGTTTCATAATGAAGATTTTCAAAGTAGACTACTCAGATAATGAAATTTGTTAAATTCTCAAGAAATATATACTACATACAGTTTTATTTAAAAATTCAAATAAAGATATATATAGCATAGAAAGCACCTTATCTATCCCCTCCCATCCCTCACAACCCCAAACTAAATATCACTCTCCACAGAAAAATATGGTTAAAAGTCTGTATATAAATTAATCTTTCTTGCTTCTTTGGATGTAAAGGGGGATTATACTATGTGTATTGTTCTATGACTTCCTTCCCGCCCATTTAATAATTACCAATGTAAGAACCATACTTCCCTGGCTTATCACTACTATAACTGAACTATCAGAACTTATGAGAGTAGAGAGGAAGGAGTGTCATTATCTAGCTCAGATAAAATACTCCTTACACTTAGGATGGGGTAGACTTACTAAATAGACAGTGTGCTTGTATACAAACTTGCATGTGTGTAAGAGAGAGAGGGACAAGAAGAAACAGCAGGAAAATGCTGAAACAGGGCACAATTTGTTCAAAACTTTATGTCAGTTAGAGTATGTCAACTGTAAGAGAAGAGAATGGTGAAAAAGACACTAGTGAGGCCACACAGAGTCTTGTGTGCTGGGCATGAACAGACAGTGAAGAACTTTCAAGAAATTAATCCCAAGGAACAGTTTAAAAGTAAACTAGAAGGGGCCAAAATTGGAGACTGAAACACCACTCCAACAAGGAGGTGCTGGCTGAACTAAGGCTGAGGGCATGAGAATGCAGTGTGAGGGATGCTGGATAGGGCTGGGGATGACCTACGTGTGACTGGAGCAGATTCAAATTCAGGTGGATTCATCCAGAAGGACGTAATCACTCACCTGAATGACTACATATTGCACTTAGTTGGTTACTGGGTTGAAAACCCAGAATTTGAACACAGACACAATACAGGCAGTTATCATCTGTATGCTCTTGTAGCCCAGTGTCTTCTGTGCTCTCTAAGAACAAAGAAGCATCTGAATGGATTGAATTCATTATTTCCGTAAGACTCATCTGCTGCCTCAGCAAGTGGAAGGAATTTTTTACCAGACCTCCAGTGCCAGATGGAAGACCTGTGCAGAAGTAAACAAAACACACTGGTAAAGACAGCATCAATGATCCTTCCTTCAAGTGCCTTAACCTATGTGACAGTTTACAGGAGGGAGGCTAGAGAAGAAAACCAGAACTCTTCTTACCACTCAAAACTGGGAAAAGAATAATTTGCTTTAATTAGGAAACTAATGTAAAGTCAGCAGATATGTTTCCATTACTTTAATATGAGACTTAGGTACAAAATGGAAAACAGATTGTACAATGAAGACATCGTTTTAGTTATCCTCAGTATTTTCATAAAGCAAAGTAATAATTCTGAGTCTAAAGTGGTACTTCTTTAAAAGCAATAATCACAATTATAAAGCCTTAAACCTATGGCTGATATGCATATATTTATTAAAATATGACAGACCATAACAAAGAGAGATCATACAATATATAAGTACATTTTTATCTCTCTCTATCCTTTGCCCAAATGGCTATTACTTAGACCTATGAGGATTAGTGTTACAAATTTTTCATGTATTCTTTTTTTAAAAACAGAAATAACTGACCTAGTTTTTGTCTTCTTAGAGGCTGGTTACTTACTTGGAAAAACATTTTCTTATGTCCATTACACACACACAAAAAATGTGGTTTAATTTTAAATGGCCTCAATTATTTTGGTATAAATGATCCAAAAGTAAGTATACCTGAATTTGTAGTCATCCTACCAAAAACAACATCCTTTAAATTTTCTTAAATTTTTTTTCTTTTTCTTTTAAATACAAAGAGAAGTCTCATGAGAACAAAATCATGAATTACCTCCTGCTTCATGAACAAACACTCTTGCACCTCGATCATCAATTGGAGGTATGGTTTTAGTCTGAAAATAGGGAATATCCTTTACCTAAACCAGATATAAATCACGGTTAAGTCCAGCTATAAAAACAAGTCCACTTTATGAATAGTAGCAAAAACAAATGAAATGCACTTTAAATGGAATTACTATAGCACATGAACCTATAACAAAAAGTTTACTGAAGAAACTTAAACTACCAAAACTTGACAAAAATAACAAATAACTCTTAAAGTCCTTGTCTAGTCTTAGTGATTTAAATGGACATCAAAGTAATTATTTTAGAATTTATCCAAAATGTATTTAGACATCTAAGCAAATGTATGTATTTTTTAAAAGTATTTTTACTGCTTTCAGAGACGGAGAGAGAAACATCAATGATCAGAGAGAATCACTGATCCATTGCCTCCTGGATGCCCTCTACTGGGGATCGAGCCTCATCCTGGGCATGTGCCCTGACTGGGAATTGAAACATGATCTCCTGGTTCAAAGCTCGATGCTCAACCATGGACTAACACTGGACTGGCCAAATGTGAATTATTTAGGACTATCTATCAGCTAGGGATTGTGAGTATCTCATGGGATTCAGGCCACCTTAAATGACTGGGTACAACATGTGCTGTCCTGTGTGAGAAAAATAGGACCAAGGGTTAAAAAACAAGAAATACATGGTGCACCTCATACTTACAAAATATTACATGTCAGTTTTATCTCAATTTTTAAAAAGCTAACAGGAATAAAGTCAAATGTGACTAAAAGGGAAGGCTAGGAATTCACTAAATTTCTTCAGAGAATCTATTATATAAAAGCCCAGCGACCCTTATGGTGGGATGACCAGAACGACCGGTCACTATGACACACACTGACCATTAAGGGGCAGACGCTCAACGCAGGAGCTGTCCCCTGGTGGTCAGTGCGCTTTCACAGCAGGAGCACCGCTCAGCCAGAAGCCGGGCTCACGGCTGGTGAGTGCAGTGGCGGTGGCGGGAGCCTCTCCCACCTCCATGGCAGCGCTAAGGAGCAGTGAGCCAGGTGGTAAGGAGAGAGCAGGTGAGCAGTGAGGAGCAAGCAGGCAGGTGGTTAGGAGCAAGGAGTCCCGAATTACGAGAGGGCACAGGCTGGGATGAGGGACATCCCCCAGCCCCCCGCACAAATTTTGTGCATTGGGCCTCTAGTATACTGATAAAGAAAATGAACAAGATGCCAATTTATCATTAAGGCATTAGAAGGGAAGGTAGTGTTCTAGGGACTTGGAGGTACTAAATAAGAATATGTAACAGGAATTTCTGGAAGATGGCGGCATAGGTACACACTTATACTTGCTGCCTCGCACAACCTCATCAAAACTACAACTAAAAGACAAAACAGATATCATCCAGAACCACAAGAAGGCTGGCTGAGTGGCAATTCTACAACTAGAGGGAAAGAGAAAAGCACATTGCAACTGGTAGGAGGTGCAGAGGTGCGGAAGTGTGGAGGTACAGAGGCACGCGCAGAAACAGGCGAGCAACTGGGTACGCTGTTGTCTTTTTCAATTGGGAGGGAGATACAAGCTCCCAATTGCTCTGAACTCCAGTTCTGGGGATCCAAACTCATACAGGGAGAAACTGGACTGTCTGGCATCAGGCCAGAACGCAAGGGCGGCTATCTCGCAGAGGTGCTTGCAGCGATCATTGTTCCTGCATGGGGCCACAGGACACAGAGACCCAGGGAACTCTCCGAGGCAGGGCTGACTGGCAGTCACTGTGGTTTGCTCCACTTTGATGATTCCCTGAGGCCCCGCCCCTCCCAATTTACAACCCCACCCAAGCAGTGAGCAGAGGCTTTTGCATATGAATGGCCTGTTCTTTTGCAATCTAAAACCTAACAAACTGCAGCTGGGTCAAAGAGCGCCAAAGCTTCCAAAAGAAGGCCTAGACCAGTGTTCGGCAAACTCATTAGTCAACAGAGCCAAATATCAACAGTATAACTATTGAAATTTCTTTTGAGAGCCAAATTTTTTAAACTTAAACTATATAGGTAGGTACATTGTTATTAACTTAATTAGGGTACTCCTAAGGCTTAGGAAGAGCCACACTCAAGGGGCCAAAGAGCTGCATGTGGCTCACGAGCCGCAGTTTGCTGACCACTGGCCTAGACAGCAGCCTGCATTACTTCACAGCTGGGCCTCATCTGGGCACTTCCAAACCTCAAACAAAGAGGAGGAATCTGCAGAGCTCTCTGTAGCTCATGCTGGGTGGCCTCAGGCAGTGGCTGACTTTGCACCTCCTTGGAGATCCAAGAGCCAGTGTACCCAGTTGTCAGAGTGAGACCATAACAGAGTACAACTCTTCACATCCATAAGCGACACACCCAAGGGCAGAATTAGTGAGCACCAAAGCTCCACTGAATCACGTCCTGCTCCATAACGGTATCTCCAGCACAGCAGTTCTCCCATTGTAGACACAGCTGGTCCTCACAGCCAACTGGCCTGGTGGTCAATTCCTCACAGTGATACCAACAGCAATCAAGACTTAACTACAACAAGACTGTGCACACAGCCCACAAAGGGGTGCACCAAGAGTGTCCACCTTAGGTAATTAGGGAGGCTGAGCCACTGAGCCTTATAGGACACCTAGCACACAAAGCCACTCTACCAACACAGGGAAGCAGCCAAAATGTGGAGACAAAGAAACAGGTCACAAACGAAAGAAATGGAGGAAAGCAAACTACTGGATATAGAGTTCAAAACCAAGATTATAAGGTAACTCAAGAATCTTCTAGAAATCTCCGAGAAATTTAGTGAGACCATCAAGAATATGAAAAAGGACCAATTAGAAATTAAGCATATACTTACTGAAATAAAGAATAATATACAGAGATCCAACAGCAGACTAGAGGACCCCAAGAATCAAGTCAAAGATTTGAAATATGAAGAAGCAAAAAACACCCAATCAGAAAAGCAAAAAGAAAAAAGAATCCAAAAATATGAAGACAGTGTAAGGAGCCTCTGGGATAACTTTAAGCATACCAACATCCAAATTATGGGGGTGCCAGAAGAAGAGAGAGAGCAAGATATTGAAAATCTATTTGAAGAAATAATGACAGAAAACTTCCCCTACCTGGTGAAAGAAATAGACTTACAAGTCCAGAAAGCGCAGAGAACCCCAAACAAAAGGAATCCAAAGAGGACCACCCCAACACACATCATAATTAAAATGTCAAGGGCAAAAGACAAAGAGAGAATCTTAAAAGCAGCAAGAGAAAAACAGTTACCCATACGACTATCAGCTGATTTCTCAACAGAAACCATGCAGGCCAGAAGGGAATGGCAAGAAATATTCAAAGTGATGAATAGCAAGAACCTACAACCAAGATTACTCTACCCAGCAAAGCTATCATTTAGAATTGAAGGTCATATAAAGAGCTTCACAGATAAGAAAAAGCTAAAGGAGTTCATCACCACCAAACCAGTATTATATGAAATGCTGAAGGGTATTCTTTAAGAAGGGGAAGAAGAAAAAAGTAAAGATAAAAATTATGAACAACAAAGTGACAACAAATACATATCTATCAATAAGTGAATTTAAAAATCAAGTGAATAAAAAACCTGATGAACAGAGAAAACTGGTGAATATAATAGAATCAGGGTTATAGAAAGGGAGTGGACTGACAATTCTCGGAGGGAAAGGGGTGTGGGGGGTGCAGGAAGAGACTGGACAAAAATCGTACACCTATGGATGAGGACAGTGGCGGAGGGGGTAAGGGCAGAGAGTGGGGTGGGAACCGGGTGGAGGGGAGCTCTGGTGGGGAAAAAAGAGGAACAACTGTAATAATCTGAACAATAAAGATTTATTAATAAAAAAATTGAACAAGATTTTAAAAACAAAACAAACAAAAAAAGAATATGTAACAGGTGAGAAAGGTGAAATAATTTTCATAAAATTTCTTTAAACTGCTTTAAAAATCACTTTCTCCAAATTAGTATTCACTCTATAATTTCTAGCAAGCAGGAAACCAACTCATAAGAAAACAAGAGGATTTAGGATACCTGGAATATATCGTTGATGTCTACAGGAAGAGCAAGACCAATATAGTCATCTGAGCTCCCGTACGTCGCACTGGACACCATGGACCTCACTGAGGATGATCGCTGCAGGGTATTTTGGTTAATAGGACTCAATAAATCTTCTTTATCTAACGAAGCATAACTTAAAGCTTTCATGAACCTATAATACCATAAAAATCACTTGCATTAGTGTTCTGATTTATAATATTGACCATAAGAAAATTTTATTTTCATATATTCACAAAAAATAAGTAGCTAATAGCTAGTCAAATACTAAACAGGTCCATCTTATGTACTGAGAACATATAAACACTTGAAAATATTTAGCTGTTATAAACTGATAGAAAAAAGGTTATCAGTAATGTTGACTGTTACCAAAAACAATGTTATGGTCCTCCAGGTATAATTCTAGTATTATTTTTATGAAAATAAGAATAATTTCTTACCTTTTTTTCAATAATAATTATTTCAATGCTTTATCAACATAAGATTCATGTAGACAGAAGTCAGACACAAAATAGCAAAAAATGGTATCATTTGTAACTACAAGATAGCGTTATATGAAATATTTCCTCAATGTACTCCTTACCAGTGATTCCATAACAAATATGGCCTACTGATAGGCACCTTTCTCAGACAGATCCTTATTCACGCAATAGACATGCTAAAATATTTACTAGGGATCTGCTTTGTATATACAAGGAACTACTCAAGGTTCCACAGTATATGCATATTGATATTTGGAAACCCAAGTCACTTAAAGTGTAATAATGTAGTCCGGCCAATGTGGCTCCATGGTTGAGCATCAACCCATGAACCAAGAGGTCAGGGCACATGCCTGGGTTGTGGGCTCAATCTCCATTAGGGGGTGAGCAGGAGGCAGCCAATCAATGATGCTTCTATCTCTCTATCCCTCTCTAAAAATCAATAAAAACATGTTAAAAAAAATAAACTGTAACAATGTAGCCTGGTATTAAAACAAAGAATTACTTGTAAAGCACACAAAATAAATGCTTCATAAACAGTAGCTATTAAAATCATCATACTGCCCTGGCCAGTGTGGCTCAGTTGGTTGGAACATCGTCTATGCCCCAGTCCAGGCACATACCCAAGATGGGGGTTCGTTCCTTGGTCAGGGCACAAATGGGAGGCAGCCCATCATGTTTCTCTCTTACATCGACGTTTCTCTCTCTTTCCTCTCTCCCTTCCTGTCCTCTTTCTCTCTGGAATCAATGAAAAACATATCCTCAGGTGAGGTTTTAAAAAATTAATAAGTAAAATAAAGTTATCATAGCTAAGACCACTCTTAATTTGTACTAATCTCCAACTAAAAACCACCCGTAATTAAAATTTATGTATTTCAAAAAATAGGTGAGTGGTTTTTAAAGTGTAGTGTTATACCTCTCTAACTACATAAAACTCAAGGTCTACCGGAGTGGGCAGAAAAGGATTACTCGCTTTTTCAATCTCTAGTTCAACCAGAGTAGCTCCATTTAATCTTTTCCACATATTATTAGGTTTCCATAGAAATGTTTTGTAAAGAAAGCAACATTTAAAAATCTCAAAACTTACGATCTAGCCCTAGCTGATTGGGCTCAGTGGATAGAGTAGTGGCCTGCGGACTAAAGTGTCCCAGGTTTGATTCTGGTTAAGGGCACTCCCATTGGGGGGCGTGCAGGAGGCAACTGATCAATGATTCTCCCTCATCAGTGATGATTCTATCTCTCTCTCCCTCTCTGAAACAAAAACAACAACAACAACAAAAAAACACACAACAAAACATACAATCTAGTCCAGTCTCCAGTAAGGGAGGCACATGAAGTGCAAATAGAGAAAAATTCTTGAACTTTTACTACAGAGATTTATGACGGTGAGCAACTGGCTGAGAGGTTTGCCTGGCTTTGTTCTAGATTGCTAAGGTCTGCAGAGCTATTGAATTCCAGGCATAAGAGACATTATGGCAGGATTTGTAGAACTCTGTCCAAGTTCATTTACTCAGTGTCAGGACTAAAACTCAGGATTAAGGATTCCTACTTCAGTGTTTTTCCTACTATGCTCCAAGGTACAACCTGAGTGAGATATGTTTTTAAGATTGCTGGATTCATGCTATCCATTATACCACAGGTATCAGTATGCCTACTCTTCTAATTTTATTAAGAAAATGAAAAAAGGAAAAATCTTCTCAGCCTGGATTCCAAGCCATTATTTTACAGTAAATTTATAGTTATCATCATTGTTTTCATTGTCTCTGAATTAACCAAATAGGAAGACTAATGCCAACACGATTTTTTTCCTCCATGGAACCCGGTACAAAGTAAATTCTCAATACAGTTTGAAGTATAAATGAAAGACTTGATGAACATGAGTTCTGTTAAGCCTTCATGCCTTTGCATAAGCTGTTCCTATTTCTCTTGACTGCTTATTTTTGTTTTTATTATTTCTCTCGCAAGAAATATTTTCTCTCACCTATTCATTCTTCCTAATGCCAATGATTTGGCATTTTACTCTAGGAAATTTCCAAATCTTCTTCTCCTGTTCTAACAGAGACTATAGGAAATAAGATCCTAAGAACCCAGAGTGGTTAGAGAATAAGCAACTTGGGATAAATGTCTTTCTGGTTTATTCTTTTGAATATTTAAGCACTACACTTTTTATCTATGCTTTTTATTCAACTTGGATAGAAATGCCTGCTTCAATAAGATACAATGAACCTAATCAGATGGTTCAGAGTTAACAGCACTCGGGTCACTGCTGAGCTGTAAGATGGTGGTGCTCCTGTTTATTTTGGGGTGCTGTGTTCCTTACTGCCCCTGGCTGAATGCTACCAGGTTACTGTGGTTTTCTGAGTTTTCAAATACTTTCTGGTAATATTAAAGTTTCCTCCTCTGCTACCAATTTTATCAGCTGACCTTTCCTGTTACAGTGTGCCTCAATAAAAACTTCTAATTGCTGCTTCTATGGGCCTGAAAACCAGACATACTAGCTGGTGAAATAAATATTAACAAACTTTGAATGCAGGTCAGAGGCACCTCCTATGAATAAAATTCATGAACTTTTACTGCCTACGTTTATACTGGTGAGCTGTTGAGAGGTTTTCTGGCTCTGTTCTGAATTGATGAGGTTGCCAAAGCCAGTGTGTTCCAGGTAAATGATCCATTACTGTATAATTTATGAAATTCTACAAGAGATATAATTATCTGCTAACAGGAACTCCATCTACTAAATATGTTAGCATTACTGAAACAAAATTACTTAATAACAACTTCTTAATGTGATTAATATTTTGGTTATATAAGAACCAAATGGATTACATTAAAAAATGATTACCGATGATGATGATGACAGCTAACTTTTATTGACTACTTAATATATGCCAAGCACTATTCTTAGTATCTAACAAATACTAAATAAATGTAACTGAATAATCTGAAACTAAAAAAGTTTTAGAAGTATTTGGCCCAACAAAAATAGGTAAAGAATTTTTTGCAATAACCAAATTTAACACTGCACCCCTAAATTTTTTACTTTGACCAGCTTGCTATATAATCTTTAGATATGACATAGAAATCCCCTAAATGTTCTTGAGCACAGGCAAATTGGTAGTGCTGAATCCTGAAAGGCCAAATAATTTTTTATGTAAATTAGGTTCTGACTTGATAATACTTAAAACTGAAAATAATTTCCCTAAAATTTTCAGTTATTTTAAAAAAAAGAGGTCAACTTTTGGAGCCTTAAATTGACCTACCTGAAAAAGTTGTTTGTTATTGTAGGTCTTAAGCTCCTGATTCCCCCGACATGCTTCTTTTTAAAATCGATCCTTGCAGAAGCGAGAATAAAAAAAAAAAAAAAAAAGCTTGTGACTTGTTTGTCTTTGAAAAGCATGTATGTTTACTTTCAGGGCCTAAATGAGTTTCTTTTCCCCCCTCGCAGCTGCAAGAATCCATTTCAAATCATATCGGGTAACTAGGAGCTTACAGCCTACCATAGTAAACAATGGTAATAGGTCAGTTTGGAGGCTTTTATGTAGAGGGAAAACCTAACTAATGCTTTCCATTTAAGTCTGTTACAATGCAACCATTACTGTTCATTTTAAATGCGTTTACTCACCTGCTTGGTGTTAACCTGGACTCGAAGCTGTTGGCCTTCATGGTGATGGTATCAGTAAATAGCACATCTTTTGCTGGAGATGCCAAAGCTTCAGAATGAGACAGAGATGGATGCATTCTTTGTTGCTGTAACCTTTTCAGTGTAGCGTAGCCAAAGGCATCTCTAGAACTTGTGTAACTGAAGTTACAATCTGCTAGACTTTTAATTGTAGCGATAGAGGGTGCTTTAAGGGACTGTGCTCTTCTGGGAAGTGTATGAGAAGAACCCGGAGGCACCAGGGATACTGAATTTGACTTGGAGAGAGATAGATGGTTAGACTGTGGCGTCAAATAGTGGCTCGTCTTAACAGTTTTAGTACTTACCACAGTACTCATACTTCCACAGTCTGTGTCCACAGTCGTAGCATCCACACCTACTGTCTCTCGGGAGGGGCTTGAGCTCATTGAACTTATGCCACTTGTTGTAGTGTCTGTATTGAAACTTTGGCTACGCATCTTCATATGCGAGCTTGTTGAACTTTCCACAAGTAATCTCTCTCGGCTTGTGTTTTCTCTGTGATTCTCTGTACCAAGACTCTTGGTGAATTTTAAGTCATTATCTCCAATACTTGGAGTACTACCAGTGTCTTCTATATGCCTATTCCCCACAAATGAAGTTTCTAACTGTAATGTTTTCTGCACTGTGGATATGGGTGTAAAGTCTTCACTCTGAATGAAGTCAACACTAGGATCCGTGAGAGTTCTGATCCGCCTGTTGCTTGTCTTGTTTTCAGACGACAGTTTCCCTCCTTTTGGATCACTGCTACTGCGATGTTTTTTATTAGGCAAAGTAAGGGAATTTAAGATACGATTCTTCACAAGTTTGCTAGACCCAAAGAAAGGGAATGAATTTTTATCCTTTACAGGTCCAGGCCGATCAAAAAAGGATGGCTCTGCGTCCTCACTGATGTCGAGGAAGAACGTACTAGTGGAGCTGCTGCCAAACCGGTCGTCCTCCATTATGAACATACCTGCGACGAAAGGACTGATTAACAGCACATAAAAATGACGAGCAAAGTCATGGTACCAAGTAGTGACATGTTTCAGAAAATTAATTTTTAATAGCTGAATAAGAAAAACATTGTCAAAAATGAAGGGTTAAATTTATCTCTTCTCTCAAAAATGAACATGTGAATATATCTTTTAACACAAGTATTATGAGTCAACAATCTCTGTATCTGAAAAATGAATTAAAAACTATGTAAATGAAGAAGGTTGGCAAATAGACATTTACTTAGATTACATGACAAGCAAAAAAGCGGAACAGTTCTCCTGGCACATGGCTTATTATTTAACTCTGAAAGTGGGATATTTCCAAAGGCTATTGAGAAAGGAAGGGGAGAAAAAAATGTAGGTTGTGACTATACACACTGTTGTGAAAAGATACGCATTCTACAAGAGGCTACTACTGCCATATTATCTTAGAAAAAGGTAAATTAGAAATGGAACAAATACACATAGATTTTGATATTCAAATACAAATGTTAACTGGCTAACTTTATAGGAATATGTCACAATACTCACTTGATGGCGCAGACTCACTCTCACTGTTATGTCTAGAGCTGGTTGACTCTGAGTTCAAACTCAAGGTGCTTGGGATAGATGAAAGCTCATTACAGAGCTGATCCACATCATCGGGAACCACTGGCCACAGATGTTTGCGACTGTGCCTTACAGCATCCCAGTTATGACATTTTAGAATATCACAGCCTTGTTTGGTTTTGGCTATGAGTCCAAGCACATACACGCAGGTCCTATATGTAAAAGATGTAGTAGTAACAGTTTATAATTCCAAAATGAAAATTCTTAAAGCACTCACAAAGTATTAGTTTGCTATGTGTACATTCCATTTTTCTTCAAACGCCATTAAAAACTGTTAGGCTTGTGGAAAAATGTATTGAAACGAGTTAGGTGTAAATTAGAAGTAATAAATAACATGAAAACCTTCCTCATAAAAATACTAATTATAATGAAATAATTGACAAGAATATAATGCAACAAAAAAACATACATATTAACTTTTCTGGGATAAATTTGAAATATTTGGACTACTGGACCACTGGATATTAGACACACACTACACTTCACTGTTTATTTGCAAGGTAAACTGTAATGAGAAAAATAGAATAGTAATGTAACGAGGAGCTCCTTACAGTGCTTAACTTAATGCATTTAAAAATCTCTATCATTAGGACTCCCAGTGAATTAACTTTGAGTCATAACATGCTCTTCCCTTACACCCATTAGTGAAGAACAATCTATAATAATAAAAGTGTAATATGCTAATTAGACTGGACGTCCTTCTGGACGAAGCCAGGGCTGCGAGGGAAGCCTGGGTCCTGGGTGTCAGAGGGAAGCTGGTGTCAGCAGCTGGGGGAAGGAAGGCCTATTCTTGCACGAATTTCGTGCATCGGGCCTCTAGTATATTATACACTAGAAAGACTTCTGAGTTGAATGATGGAAAGTTCTTACCCTCTGATGGAAAGAACCTCACACTGTTTCGCAAGTTTTAGTATATCTGGAATCACATTTTCTTCCTGCAGCAAATTGAGACCCCAATTTGATGAGCCAATATTTCCCTGAAAGAAAAGAAATCACTTATATCCAATTTAATACAAGAGATTTGGAAAGCAAGCCCTAGCTGTTTTGGTTCAGTGGATAGAATGCTGTACTGCGGACTGAAGGGTCCCGGGTTCAATTCTGGTCAAGGGCACATGCCTGGGTTGCGGGCTCAGCTCCCAGTAGGGAGCATGCAGGAGGCAGCTAATCAATGATTCCTCCTCATCATTGATGTTTCTATCTCTCTCTCCCTTCCTCTCTGAAATCAATAAAAATATATTTTAAAAAAGAAAGATTTGGAAAGCTAGCAAAAAAGAGAAAAATTTAATCCCATCTATGAGGAAAAAATGTGAAATAAACCTCAAATAAGAAACTTTAGGAATTAATGTTCGATTTCCCTTAGCAAGAGAACTAATAGTTTAGTCATCTATTTTCCAGCTAAAATTTAATATTTAAAGGAGCAGGAACAATATTGGTCATAGAATATAATGTTCCATATAAAATTATTTTTATTTATTTACTATTAATGGGAAAATTATAAAAATAAAACATTATGAAAATCTTATAGAAGTGTTTATTACAAACCAAGGCCCAAAGAGATGCTTTCAGTTTTTTAATTTCTTCCCATTTATCTAAATCTGGTGTACGAACGTTGTGACAGAGCTCTGCAATAATATTCTGGAGAAAGAAGAAAAAAAACATATAAGAAACAGTTTTCAATGTATTTTCTTATTATATCTGAAAACCTATTTAAGGTTTGCCTTCAGTAAATCTTGCATATTTATAATTCTAAAATAATTTTATGTAAAATTTCTTAAGAAGCAGCATGGACTTTCAGCTAATATCCTAGAATTAGCATTCATTAGCCATGTGGACTTGATACTTAGTATTACAAAAATATTAGTCATAATTATCATTATTTAAATAGAAAATAATACATTAACACCAAGATTTTATAATACTATATAGATAATAGTACATTGAGCATACCACTTACTTCGGTGCTCACCAAAGGTAACTGAATCTGTTATCAGATTCAGTTTAATTTCGCAATAAGAGGAATGAAGAAACTCAGTTCTTTAGAATGTTTTTACTAAGACAATCTTCCCCAAAACACTATAAAGGAAAAACTCAGACCTTCACTGGTTACAGATTTTATGTAACAAATTAGTTTTGCAAAAGGTGACACATAAATCAAGGAAATGGAGGCAAGCTAATAGTATGTCTAAAGATTACGAACACAGACTACCTGAGTCCATTATAAGATGGATGCTTTAAAAGCAATATGCCACCGACCTTAAGACTTTTGAGAAATTTTTGCAAAAATAATACTTTAACAAAATTAAGATTTTTCCCTACTTTGTAGCTACTTAAATAAGCAGACTATGTTTTTACCTGTACTTCCAACAAATGACAGCCTGTTTTGTGGTGTACCAGTTGTCCATAAAGGTGTACAGGAAGGTAGACATGAGGACGCTGTAATCTAGTACAATAAAGATGATTGATATACCTATAGGTTCATTTAAAATATGCTAACTAAACAATTACTAATAACAAAGTACTAGTATTAGACAGATATAGTTATTAGATATAACTCCCCAGCATAAATAAAAATGGAGGTGGAAAGCATGATGATTTCTCTAGAAAAATAATAGTTTATCTGGTCTCAAAGTAACAGTAAGAGAGCCGAGACTAAGAAAGATAGACTAGTAATAGTAAGAGCATGAAGGGTATTTGAATGCCTTATACGTAAGGATATTCTCTGTATGCTAGGAATGCCACTGGAATTTTTGAACAATCAATGCCATTCTCTAAGAACATTTTTGTCAGTGTAAGAAATAGAATATCCAAGTACTCAGAAAACTTCAGAAATTAATGATTACAAAATGGTTTTAAATTTTATATTTGAGGATCAATAATAAATTATTCCATTAACTGATGGTACCTTTGGTTACTCCGACGAACATAGTTATCGCCATCAATCGGCTTTCGATAAGTAGTAAGTGCTTCATTAAGTTGTTCCTCAATCAAATCAACATATTTTGAATTATATTCCTAGAAGATAATATTGTTTTAATAGTATATAGTTTCATAAATTCACCAAATTTATGTTAGGTACCTAGCAAGCCTTAGAGCATAAATATGAGAAAAATAAATATCTATTTAAGAAATTTAAGACATTTTTGAAAAGAGTAGAACAAAGTACTGTGAATGTAAATGTTCTAGCACACCCAAAATATTTCTGCTTATACTCCTCTGACCCCATTTTCAATCAATGGGGTCCACCCTAGTAAGTTAATAATTTTGTTTTTTATCTTATTTCAATCCCTTTCCCCATTAAAAAAATAGCTTCTTAATATTAAACACTGAAGATATTCACTGGAAATTTTAAAAAGGAAATTAACTGAGTTCTATCATTTTAGCAACTTTTGGTAAGAAGTAATATCTCTTTCCCCACTGATGTAAATCAGATCAAAAGTAAAAAATGTTTCCAACTAAAACATTTAGTCAATCGCATTGCCATCTTTACTGCAAAAGATCTTCACTTCAAAGTGCTTTAAAAAATTGGTAGAACCTCTTTAGAAGCAATTTAACAGTATTTATCAAAAATTTAAATTCACATACATTTTAACTCCACCATTATGTTTTTAGAACTTTATCCAATAGACATACTTACAAAAGTATGGAAAGATATACAGGGTATCCCCCCAAAAATGTATACACACTGTAACAGCTGATAGCTCAATTTTGAAACTGAAATGTATTTTAATAAATACATTTATTGCTTTTATAATTATTCAAAGTATGTGGGACACTGATATATGCTAGAGTATTCAGCAAATACTGTTTACGAAACAAAAACACTGGTAACAATTTAAATACCCATCAAAACAAGAGTGGTTATAAAAATTAAGGGAGCCCTGGCTGGTGTGGCTCAGTTGACTGGAGCGCCATCCCGTGCATGGAAGGGTCATATGTTTAATCCCCGGTTAAGGCACGTAAAGACAGCAACCAATTGACGTTTCTCTCTCACACTGATGTTTCTCTCTCTAAAACCAATAAAAACAAACCCTCAGGTAAAGATTTAAAAAAATTAAAGTAACATATTATGTAGGCACTGAAATGAACTAAATTTAAATAGAATATACACAAAATCAATAGTTCAATAACAAATAACTGTAGCTTAAAAAAGGATAAATATAAATAAAAATAATTACATAGAATTTAAGACCTGACTTCAGATAAAATTTAAATATTAACATCCTTAGTTTCAAAATATTGATGATATAATAAAAACATCCAAGTTCACAAATCTATCTTCTAAGTTAATACATACAAATTGAATCTTATTCAATAGAAAGTTACCTTGTGCCACTTTTCCAATTGTTTTGCTACATAACCCCTTTCATTCAGATATGAAAACCCTTTTGGAATGGAAAGAAATCTGAAAATGAAAACAATCGATAGTTTAACATTGAATCTGACAAAACACATTAAAGACTAAAATATCTCAAACAAAAAATATGTTTAAGGAGCTTAAAGACTAGAAACAGCTCCTACCTAAAACAAAAAGGTCAACTATTATTGATTGTACTTCAAATACAAATACATTTTCACAATCTTTGCAAAACACACACAAATCTAATCACATTAGAGAAAATGCCATGAAATGCATGAGACACAGAATGTAAAAGAAACACTAAAGATTTAGAGGATGTCCAAGGTCCTAAAGCAGACCCCTTTCACAAGTTTACAGCTGACCTCCTTTTTAGGTTGGAATCCAGCTTTGACATATACCACCAGAGAACACACAGAAAACAGAACTACAAGGAAGACTGATTTAAAATTTACCTCAGAAGGAGAAGCAAACCTTTGTCCCCAAGGTGGGATAAAGCTGGCTTCATCTGAATAAGAGCATGAAGATTGGCCTAAAATAAATAATTAGGCAAGTTGAAAAATTGCACTAACATAGTATATTCTCTATTTTAAAAATACCTATAATATACACATTATAATTTCATAGTTTTCTATTAAAATTGATGTCTGCATACTTTATTAGAAAATAATGAAGCATCACCTTGTCTTCACAGGCTTCATCAAGGATATCAAGAGCTTCAGAAGAAATTGTTTTGTTTTTATCATGTAGCTGGGTCACTAGTAATTCAATTCCCCAGTTATTGAAGAATTCAACATTAGCTCTCAATAATACTCTTAAATGTTTGGTTGCATAGAGCCTACAGGCCTATAAAGACAAATGAAAACATTTTTATTTATTTTATTTTTTTAATTTCTTTATTGATTAAGGTATTACATATGTGTCCTCATCCCCCCATTACCCCTCCCAACCCCCCTGAAAACATTTTTAAAAAATCCCACAAACTTCACCACGAATAGCCTATTTGACTTTGTTTTGGGACAGTTCTGCTACTTGAAAAGGGCAAAAAAACTGGAATTGATGATCTAGTTCTTGTATGAATATTTTTTCAGTGCTAGTGAAATAAAATACTTCTGTTCCTATCTAGCTGCTTCCTCCCCTTTAAATAAAAATATGAGTACTGGATGGAGTTCTTTGGAAGAACTAAAATTTTACAGTAAGCTCAAATTCCATCCTATATCCTTACAATTTATAATTAATTTTAAAGTTTAAAAAGGAAATTAACTGACTAAAGTCTATAAAACAATAAAGTACCTAGTGATTTAAAAAAACAACAGTATCATTGTCTGTTATACTCACATCAGTGGCTGCAGTTAGGATCTTGGAGAGGATGACTCTGGCCAGCCCGTCTCTGCTGTAATCCAAGCTGGAAACAGTCAGTTTTAGCAAGTGATCTTGGTTTTTCAAGGAGCAAAGGTTAAGGAGACTAAAAAAAAACACAGAATAAAAATAATGAAGTTTATTAGAAATTATTGTATCAATTTGTTAATTCACTAAACATTTTTAAATTCCTAATATGAACAGGCTTTTCTAAAAGAAATCATTTAATGACAAGTGAAAACAGAATCTAGAGATGCTCACCACTGAAATACGCTGCATTTTTCCAGCATTTTGACTCCATGAGGGTGGCAAGAAAGTGTTCCAATAAATAAAAAGTAGTGTTGACTAAGGGTGGTCAATAAGCCGTTATTTTGAAGACTTCTTTCAGGTTTCATTCCAGAGGAGGCATTGAGCCACTGAACAATATCTTTTACTAGATCTTCTAAGTACCCTTGCCCATCCTAAAAGCAAATACATTGTGATATTGTTAGAAAAGCACTTAGTACCTATAATTAGAACAATTAACTTTAATCAAGTCCAAAAAATTTAATAATGATGAAGTTACAAATAATAGATTGTCAATCACCTGAGTACCTTATTGTTTTTAATAAAAAATATAACATTGCTGTACTTAATCCCAGTAGACACAATGCTATATGAAGATGGTGTTATTTTCCATTTTACAAGGAGTAAACCAGTTTTTCTAGAAGGCAAATTACTGCCCAAAGTCACAAACCTAGCAGGATTCAAATTTAGGTCTGTGCTCATTCCCTATGTGTCTAAATAGAGTTTATGCATTCAGAAGTAAAAGGGAGCAAATACAATAAAAAACATTTGCTCTGGAAAATACTCAAAGTGCTTATTACCTCTTCAGACTCAAGAAGAAATTCTGTAAACTGGCAGCCCACGACTGTAAGCTGCTTTGACTTGGCAAAACCCAGGTCCAGGTTGGCATATAATTTACTGCTAGGCTTGTAAAAGTAAAGTAGTCTTCGTACAAACCTAAGATCAAAATTAAATTAGCAGCCAATAAACCAAGCAATTATTTTAGAAAGAATCTTAACCATAACTTATGAAAAAATAAGGTTTTGAATGTTTTGTCTAAACCACTGGGTGGTGGGCACATGTGCAATATACAGATCTTGTAACAGAAACCCACACCTGAAACCTGTATGTCCATGTTGACCAATGTCACCCCAATCAATTTAATAAATAAAAAAGCAAGCAAACAAACAAACCACTGAGGTAAATGACAAGAAATTTAACAAGCACATTTGGTACATTACACACACACACACACACACACACACACACACCCAAAAAACAACCCCCCCCCCTCCCCCCCCGCCAAACCCTTTATTTTAAAGAGATCTTTGTAGAATAAGAATTTTATAGTGAGAAGCCTAAAAGAAATTGTGGGAAAAAAAGGTGCTAGCAGGAAAAATGCAGATATATAACATGGCTAGAAGATAAGGTTGGGTAAACAGCCACCTGGACATAAATTTTCTTCTATTGTATTTCATGAAGAACTTTGTACTATGGCTCTATAAATTAATCTTATACTAGGTAATTGTAACCATGTTATCACACTATGATTTTGTCATTTATTCTTCACAATTAGGCAAAAAGCCAAGTGTAAAAGCTGCAAGTAAATTTTAGGTTACTGAATTTATGAAGCAATGAACATAATTTCTGATATTTCAATGTTCTAGTTTTTAACATTACATTCTAAGCTTCATTTAATTTAGTTCAATTAATTTCATTCACTATAATCCAATCTAATAAATGTGCCAGTTACAGAAGTGGGAGAAACAGCTGAATGAGACATCACCTCTGTTCTCAGGGAGTATAAAAAGTGAGTGCTATGCCTCTTTATTCCAATGTGGTTTATATAGTCTACATCTTTCTCAAACTTTAATGCAGATATTAAATTAAAATCATAAGTTGGTAAATACAATAAAAAAAACATGATATAAAGGCCCCCTTTACTTCTCCAAGTAGATCAGTACTGGTGGCTGGTTACCTACCTCAGAGGCAGTAAAATGCATGGTGGTACTAGAGAAGAGCATAAGAGCTGAAGTGCTGCATTTGCTATGAACATGAGTATGTCTTGGGGAAGGTGTGGAGTATTAACTTGATTAAGGGGAGTGTAAAGAGGAGGAAGAATGGCTAACCCTCCAAAGGCAGATGGGAATAGAAGTGAAATATTAATAATGGCCCTCATTTTGGGAGGGAAACACTATGTCCTTATTATGCCATTTCATACATTAGGATTAAGATTACTACATAGTTGATATTATCCAATTTGAGAAACTTTTATATTAAGTACTTCATTTGCTCCAAAACTAAAACCACAATGTAAATAACTAGAAAGAAAATTAACTGATGCTTTCTGGTTATAAGACTATGTATATATAAAAATGTATAAAAAGATGACCCCCTGCCCTAGCCAGTTTGGCTCACTGGATAGAGTCTCGGCCTAGGGACTGAAGAGTCCCAGGTTCGATTCCGGTCAGGGGCATGTACCTTGGTTGCAGGCACAGCCCCAGTAGGGGATGTGCAGTAGGCAGCTGATCGATGCTTCTCTCTCATTGATGTTTCTAACTCTCTATCCCTCTCCCTTCCTCTCTGTAAAAAATCAATAAAAATATATTTTTTTAAAAAAAAAAGATGACCCCCGATTAACAATTTTTCCACTTTATGATGGTGCAAAAAAATACGCATTTGGTAGAAACTGTACTTTAAATTTTGAATTGTGAACTTTCCCCAGGCTGGCGATACATGGTACAATACTCTCTTCTGAGGCTGGGCAGTGGCAGCAAGCCGCTACTCCCAGGCAGGTATGTGATCATAAGGGTAAACAACCGATACTCTACAGCACACTGTGCTGCCGGAGTTTTTTATATATGGTGTTCTGAACACGTTCAAGGTAGGCTAAGATTTGATGTATGTTCAGTAAGTTAGATGTTATAATGCACTTTTGTCTTTCAACTGATAATGAGTTTATAGGCACATAACCCCATCGTAAGCCGAGGAGCATCTGTATGTATGTGTAAAATATACCAAGTATTACAATGTACATATGCATCTTCAAAGCATCCATTATTATTTTAGCAAGTATTAGGTATAATTCAAAGCTACGTTCTTTACACTTAAAAGCAAAATAGTTCTTACATACCTATGTAACTGTTCATCTTTATAGTTTCTTAGATTTACATTTGGCCACTAGAAAAACAGAATGTTTACATTATAAAAGTATTTACCAATTACCAAACATATAATTATGATGAATTACAATGAATAATAAAATGAAGACAATCACACCATCACCAAGAAGTATCCTATCATACCTTAAGAATGGTCCCTATAAGATTCCAATTCCATTCGAGATTCTCTTTATGTTGAAGGACTTGGCTATCTCTAAGGTTCATTAAAAGAGCCTCCTCTGTATCCTAAAATCATCAGAAATAAGGAAAACTAAGGCAAATTTTCTTACATCAGAAAAGTCTAAAATTTAAAAACAAAAGAAAATATTTTTCATTTTAAAATGAATTATCAAATGTTTTTTACTTCTAAAGTTGTAAAAACACAACTCTAAACTGCCCAGTCATTATAAAACTTAGAAGCCATCGGGAAATCCATATGCATGAATAAAACTGAAAAGTCAAGCAAGTATATGTACTAGTATACTAAAATCCAAGCAAGTATGTGATACTTAAGGAAACCGAGTTATAGATTGCGATTTCTTTTCAGTACCTTAAGAACAAATATATCTTTCTGAACTCTGAGATACTGATCCCGTTTCTGATGTGTTGCAATTGCTTTCTGAATAATGTGATCTAAATGAAGGCTGTAAGGCTTAGGTCCTCGTTTCTTCATTTCATGGAAGCGTTTTAAACAGTTCAAGGCTGCACTGGCTCTCCTAATGAGAAAAAGATTCAATTAACACTATAGCGAGCTAGCATAATTTTAAAGAGATCACTTTGGTATATCACTCTATTAAAACACGTAAATTCAAGGATAGAAATTATCACTATAAAGTAAATTATCTACTCAAATTTGGAAACACAAAGAAAAAATATCAAGAACACTGGAAGAAATTCATGGCCATAAAAATTTAAGTCTATCAGGCTTTGGGAAAGCACATTTTTCCATCATGAAACTACTAAAATAAAAGCTGAAAGCTACCCTTACACATGTAAGCCTATAGTCAGGATCAAAATGGTACCTAATGTTCCAAGTTTATAATTCAACTTCAGTTTGTTAAATAATAGTATTTTCATTGATAGAATTAAAATCAATAAATAGAATATTATTTATCTATAGTGAGGCCCACATGTATACTTCTGAATAAAGCCAACTAAACTTTTGAGAATGTATTATAACTGTCAACAAAATTTCATAGTTCTGAACAGCTATGAATTACATTTCACTAATATTATATAAAATATGAGGTCCATATATAGATGATTGAGGTTGTAACTGGAAAAAAAAAAGATACCCCTGTCCTAGACATAATCTTTACCAAATGAAAAAATTCCTACTAGCACTTCCCAGTCAAGTTCCTCCACATTTATCTTATTTTATTATTAGCACTGGAATTTTAGCAGAGCTATAGCTATCTTATCATACTTTTGTTTATAGATTCTATATTTGCAATATATCCTTCAGAGTTTAGCTTACTTCAATGCCTATAATAAAGGTTTCTAAATTCCAACATTAATTTAACCCCACATATAATATACATTGTTAATCTTTGTGCTTTATTAATTTGAAATAATTTAGATATTTTTTAAATAGCCTGAATTGCTGCTCAAAACATAAAAAAGTCCAAAAAAGTCACAACCAACGTTTTAGTGATCTGGTAGAAAGTTTATGTCCTTGTCCAAGAACATGCTAGAAACATGCTAGAAAAAGTTTGTATTATGGCCTACAATACAAATGATTAAATAAAACTATTAATTTCCCCCTTATCTATAAGGCTTCCCTGAAAGAATTTCCAAGCATACCTTACACATACTACTTTATAAAAAGAAGAGGTTATCTAAATGGTGGGTATTAAAGGTGCCAGGCACAAACTTTGCCAGAGCTCTGATACTTACAGTCTCTTTTCCTTAGGGATATCAAAGGATGCTGCCATATTCATTAGGGTTGGCAGGCAGTGCAAATGATGGCTATGTGAATGAGGAAGAATTGTGTTTGCCTAAAACGAAACATAACATTTTATGAGAACTGAGAAATAGAAATATTTTATGTTCTAGATCAGCAGTTGCCAACCAGTGATCCGTGGACCACTGGTGGTCGGTGAGATCCGAAAGGTTGGCGATCGCTGTTCTAGATTATCCACAGATATAAAACTAAAGACTCTGAGGTTTTACTCATGAAATTAACTTAATGATTTACTTTCCAATATTTATAATTTTTTTCTTACCTACTTTCAATGAGAAGATGTAACAAATAGACTCACATTACATTAACAAAACTGTAAGTTTCATAGATCTTTTATTGTAACATTAAATTATATTTTTTAAGTGGTAGACAATTAAACTCAATTCTTAAATGATCTAAAAAACAATATATCAAAACTTATATCCAGAGCTATAATGTTACATTAAAAATATTTAAAATGCTAGATGCAATATAACTTATTAGTTGACTTCTTAAGTTTTAAAAATCATTATCAAACAGGTTTACTTCATATTCTGACATTTAAAATAAGAAACTTATTAACTCTTGCTTTCCACATACAATTTTACCACTCAATCTGCTTTTATCAATGAAGATAACTAAATTAATTAAATGTAGAAGCCAAAATATATAAGAATAGTAAGCAATGAACTAATAACACTGCTATACTACTCAAAATTACCAGCTTTTATATTTCAAGAGAATCATGGAATTCTGATGTATAGGTAAAAGGAACAGATGAAATGTTAAAATTGGTTCCTTTATATAAAAGCAAAAAAATTTGGATATTGATATGCTTACAGGAAATATTTCAAGAATTAATAATAATCAAACTTGAGAACCTGCAATATTACTTAATTCTTTCATAGATGGGCTGGAGAACAGAGTAGCAAGTGGCTAAATAAATGATAAACAAGAAAGTTATCATTCAACTCTGTTTAATTCTCTTTCCTTCACTCACACAACCCAGCTGCTATGTGGAAACAAACAAACAAAAAACAACTGGGCCAGCCGGTGTGGCTCAGTGGTTGAGCATCAACCCATGCACCAGGAGGTTGCTGGGTCGACTCCCAGTCAGGGCACATGCCAAGGTTGCAGGCTCGATCCCCAGCAGGGCTGTGCAAGAGGCAGCCGATTGATGATGTTTCTCTCTCATCAATGTTTCTATCTCTCCCCTTCCCTTCCCCTCTCTCTAAAATCAATAAAAACAAATAAAAAAACAACAACAGGGATGTAGGGGTGCTAAAACAACATAAACAAAAAAATACACTGCCAATAACAGCAAGTTATATATATGATTTTAAAAGACTTGCCATAGGGCTTCTTCTTCTTTAATGAGTTTAAAATGGTTCTTTTTATTTAGTATTAAGAGGTGACCTATAAACAAGAATTTCTATCTTACCATCAAAGTCCCCTCATTGCTGGGAGTAAGGAATGGTCAGATCACTTTCCTAGCTCCCTTTTTGCAGAAGTTACTGATATCACAATATCACGGGAAAAAATAAAAAAGATTCCCACTCTGTGAACCTCACTACAAGTTGACAGAGAAGACTATGTTCAAATAAGGCAGTTATATTTAGAAATTTTGTAGTTTTCTACATTTCAGGCACTGAGTACCATATTCCATTCTAGCTGATTGAAGTAATTATCTATAGTTTTTTAATTCCTAAAAATAGAAAGTCTTTCTAAGAGCGATTAAGATTTATAGCACTTAAGTTAATATTGAAAGTTAGTATAAAATATTAATGATATGAGGCATATTAATATCAATATGTAAAAGCTTACCATATGTAAAAGCTCTCCTAAAAGGATGGTAGCTCTAACTGAGATATGGTCATCGCTGTTTGTTATCACTTCAACCAAACCCTTTTAAAAATAAAAATAAAATACCATAGTTGCAAAATAGTATACATGAACATATTTATGCATCATTTGTCTGTTGCTCTAAAAAAATTTTGTTAGTAAAAATATATAAAATAAAATAGTGTTTATAAGTCTTACCTCTAAAAGTCCATTACGAATAAATGCGGAGAGTACCAGTGCCAAATAATTATCCATGAGGTCTGGCCTGTAATAAACACAGCACAGAAACAGTCTCACTAATATGCATATATTACATAATCTACACCAATAAAAGACAAACATGCAAATTGTCCATACCTTCGCTACGCCTTAAGCCACACCCACCAGCCAATCAGAGCGACTATATGCAAATTAACCCAACCAAGATGGTGGCCAGCAGCCACGGAGCTGGAGAAAGCAGGAGGCTTGGTTGCCCCAGTGATGGAGGAAGCCAAGCTTCCCGCTTGCCACGGCAGGCTCTGAGCTCCACTCAAAGCAACAAAGTTTTAATTATAGAAGGTAAATAAACCCAGATACCTGCTTTCAGCCAGCTGGGGCCACGGAGCTGGAGCAAGCAGGAGGCTTCCCTCCCGCCCGCCCTGGCCGGCTCTGAGCTCCTCTCAAGGCTACAAAGTTTCAATTATAGAAGGTAAATAAATCCCAGAATAAAAAAAGAAAAAAAAGGAGAGGCTGGGAGCTTCTGTCGCCGGGGGGCTTGGCCAGCCTGAAAACGGCCCTCAGCCCCTCACCCAGACTGGCCAGGCACCCCAGTGGGGATCCCCACCCTGAAGGGGGTGTGACCAGCCATGCAAACACCCATCAGCCCCTCACCCAGGCTGGCCAGGCACCCCAGCGGGACCTCCACCCTGATCCGGGACACCCTTCAGGCAAACCAGCCGGCCCCCACCCATGAACCAGGTCTCTATCCTATATAATAAAAGGGTAATATGCAAACTGACCCTAACAGCAGAAAGACTGGGAATGCCTGGTCACTATGACACACACTGACCACCAGGGGACAGACGCTCAATGTAGGAGCTGTCCCCTGGTGGTCAGTGCGCTCCCACAGGGGAGCTCTGCTCAGCCACAAGCCAGGCTGACGGCTACCAGTACAGCGGTGGTGGTGGGAGCCTCTCCCGCCTCCTCAGCAGCACTAAGGATGTCTGACTGCAGCTTAGGCCTGCTCCCCGCTGGCAAGTGGACATTCCCTGAGGGCTGCCGGGCTGCCAGAGTTATGTCTGACTGCCAGCTTGGGCCCGATCCCTCAGGGAGTGGGCCTAAGCCAGCAGGTGGACATCCTCCGAGAGGTCCCAGACTGCAAGAGGGCATAGGCTGGGCTGAGGGATCCCACCCCCCCCAACGAGTGCACAAATTTTTGTGCACCGGGCCTCTAGTTTAATATAAAAGCAGTCATCGTAATAAATTTGACCCATTTCTGTATCTAAATTCTACCTGGATCTGGCACGATGAGGAAGAATAGTTTTTGCTTCAGCTGCTACAAAGCCATCTGAGAGCCTCCAACTGTCCTGGAATCTGCCTGGATCTAAAATAGTTAAAAATAAGTAGTTAGGAGAAAATTAAACAAGTGTATATAACTACAAGCTAGCCAGGCTATAAATAATCTTTTTAAATGTTGGCTAGGAAAAAAATAGACTAAAAAAGGCATTCAGAAAAAAATTATTTATATAAATGTACACAAATCTAACTATTTTGGGACTCTGGGGTCATTTGTCTAAAATAAGAATTAGATCATATAATTTGAGAATTATATAGGTTTCTTGTTGTCTCCTCTTCCTTTCTTGGTCCGTATTATTATTAATTTCATTGCTCATTTGAAGAGCTAGGATGACAGGAAAAACTAAAAATTTCTTATTTTTAGAAATTTATTGGAGGTTTTACTTTTATATTAATTTCATGCCACTATAACGCAATAAGAAAAGAAAATCATACTCAATATTTACTTGAGTACTTTTTCTTTAAGGGACTGTCTCCATTAGGTTGCCATTTCAAAAATTATAATATTTGAATAGATGCAGATGCACCTCGATACTTACCTACACTGAGCAGCGCTTCTATGAACTCTTCAGTCACCACAGGCAGAGGAAGACGAAATATGTCATAAAGTACTTCAAGCAGACCTCTCTGCAAATGCAAATAAATACAGTTCATTAACTTTTATGGGGGGAAAAAAAAATCTTTGCTTAATGATGTACTGAATGTTCTATTCTCAAAATAAAAAACTGATAAAAACAGAATAGGCTATACTACTCTCTGTCCGTGGATTCATTCTTTGACTCTGGCAGACAAAAAATCCAGGTTCCAGTCCAAAAATTCCTTTTCAAAATGGTGCACTGGCCGGGAATTTCTCCATAAGTCAGTCAACCCTCTTCACGTGGAATGGAGAATTTCGGATTTCGAACCCTTGCACCTGCCCCTCCAGGATGTCTACAAAATTGGTGGCATTAGTACTGTCCCTGTGGACACTGGTATTCCCAAACCCAGTATAACTAATGGTTATCTTTGCTCGAGTCAGTGTTACAACTGAAGTCTGTTGGAATGCATTATAAAACTTGAGTGAAGCTCTTCCTAGGGACAATGTGGGCTTCAATGTCAATGACATGTCTATCCAAGATGCTCATCATGCACCATGGCTGGGGACAGCCAAAATGACCCATGAAGCAGCTGGCTTCACAGCTCAGGTGATTATCCTGAACTATCCAGGCCAAACCTGTGCTGACTGTTTACAAGTTTGCCGATTAAACCTGTGAGAAGATTGATTGTCATTCTGGGAAGAAGCTGGAAGATCGCCCCAAATTCTAGAAATCTGTTGATATTGTCATCATTGCTGTGGTTCCTGACAAGCCCAGGTGTGTTGAGAGCTCCTCCTCTGGGTCATTTTGCTGTTCATGATATGAGACAGACGGTTGCTGTGGGTGTCATCAAAGCAGTGGGCAAGAAGGCTGCTGGAGCTGGCAAAGTCACCAAGTCTGCCAGAGGTCTCAGGATCTCAGAAGGCTACATGAGTATTGCCACTAATACCTGACACCCAGTCTTAATCAGCACTGGAAGGAAGAACAGTCTCAGAACTGTTGTCTCTATTGGCCATGTATATTTAATAGTTTAAAAAAATGGTTACTGATAATGCATTGAAAACCTTCAGAAGGAAGGGAAAATGTTTGTGGACCATTTGTTCTGAGAGAGGGGGAGGGGGATTTTAAATTATTAAGTTTTTAAAATTAATACTTTTCAATGAAAACCACTTGACCAACCATTTGTCACACAATTTTGAGACCCACTAAAACACAGTTTCTTAAGAGAGAAAAAAAACAACCAAAAAAAAAAAACAAAACCCAATATATTTCAGAAAACTACTGTTATCAGGCCTATATTAGATAAAAAATATATTAGACAAAAAATAACTATTAAATGCTTACTAAATACAAAATTTAATCTCTTCAATAAATCTTTAGTAACCCCATTGTACACATAAAGACACAGGTTTAAAGGTTAAAAGCAATATGCCTACCCAGCAGGCATGGCTCAGTGGTTGAGCATTAACCTATGAACCATGAGGTCACAGTTTGATTCCCAGTGTCCTGGTGTGGGCTTGATCCCTAGTGGGGGTGTGCTGAAGGCAGCCAATCAATGATTCTCTCTCATCACTCATGTTTCTTTCTCTCTCTCTCTCTCTTTCTCTCACACATACTCTCTCTTTCCCTTCCTCTATGAAATCAATAAAAATATGTATTTTTAAAAAGTAGTATGCCCAAGGTCATAGAACTATAAGTGAAGCTAGTAGTCAAACTTCAATCAACCAGACTCCAAAAACTATGTTCCTTCATCACTGCTGAATAAGAAGTCAACTAAACTGCCCCAACCTTTAGATGCCTGCTTCTGGATCTTTCCACCTATAACCACATCCATTTCCACCATCACCTGAAATAACCTTTTTACAATTATTTTCTTCTATTAAAAGTCCAAAAAATGAAACAATCAGAATAACTTTTACAAACCCTTATTTCCATATTTGGTATGCAAAGTACTCCAATTAGAGATTGAATCCCAGAGTTTCCAGGTTTACATAAATTAATAATACCTAAAGTATAAAAAGAAAAAAAATCATTGACTTGAATTTCAAAAAAAGTTAGTAATTTATATTTTTCTCTTTGAGTTTGGGTTCAAAATTATTTGCTTAAGTCATCAAAATGGTATTTCTCAAACTCAGATGTTTGATGTAATGTGAGAGATTGCAGATTATGATACAGTCTCTATAGATCAGGGGTCCTCAAAATACGGCCCGAGGGCCACATGCAAATACAAGTATTGTATTTGTTCCCGTTTTGTTTTTTTACTTCAAAATAAGATATGTGCAGTGTGCACAGGAATTTGCTCATAGTTTTTTTTTAAACTATAGTCCAGCCCTCCAACGGTCTGAGGGACAGTGAACTGGCCCCCTGTTTAAAAAGTTTGAGGACCCCTGCTATAGATCATACTCTGCACTAATCAGGAAAACAGGTGGTTGCATCTCATGAAGCAACTGTGTTCTGGAGTTCATTTGTCAATCACTTTTGGATTTTGAAATATATATAATAATGTTACAAATATACAAAAGCTTATAACTCATGAACAGTACCACAGTGTCTAAATACTATTTAGGAAATTATTTCTGTGAGAAAAATGTTTTCAGAGTTCTAACTTGTAATGCCGGTATTTTTCTCCTTACTTCATTAGGAGGGTTGAAAACTCTCAACCACCTAAGTTTCTAATGATGGATCAGTATATAAGGGATAGAGGACAAACTGAAGCATGGTAGAAATAATGTTTAAGAGATGCAGGGGAATAGAATGGCAGAGCTTAGAGACTGGAGGTAAGGAGAATGAGAAGATAGTAGCTAGGCTGTCCTGGTGGTTAGAGCAGGATAGAATTCATGTGTTGGTAAGACAGAAACTGCTCTAATGGCAAGGAAGTTGAAGGATGGCAAAAGATGATAGTTGTAGCTAAAGGAAACTAAGTTAGAGTGAATTCTCAAGTAAGGGCAGTGATAGTTAAACTTGGCAGAAGGACTGTGTTGGTTTCTATGTTAAAATAGTGCGTGGAGGCTGGTTAAGTATAAAAAAGAATGTGTGATTGTTGGGCCCTCATAAATACCTAGTTTATCCACGAGGGTACGGGGAAATAGGTAGTCATGAGGACACAGCATGAATGGAGATTTTACCAAAGCACTGAGAGGTCAGAGGAAGTCACTGAATACATACTGGCTAGGGGCCAATGGCTGGGATAGTAATTTGTATGAAAAAGATATCTTAGCGTTACCTAGGTAACACAGATATGTTTAGGAAAATTTTCTTCTGTTTACTGCTACACTCCTTTGTATGCTATTCCTTAAATTATTCTACAAAGTCAAGAAGGAAGAAGGTATTTATTAATATAAAATAGCACACTTAGTGGTGGTATTATTTTAAGAAATGTGTTTGCTTTCTATTCCACAGAAAGATAAAGCATGCTTACTCCCTCTTCTCAAGAAATGTAAGACTACTAATAGCCTACACCTTGCTTATTTGGTATTAATTATGTTTTACATTGTCTTTTTAGGTAACAAACTTTAGTTACATATACAGCTAACACCCTCATATATATATATATATATATATATATATATATATATATATATATCCATATATATATATATATATATATATATCCATATATATATATATATATATATATCCATATATATATACATCCATATATATATATATATATATACATATATATATCACGTTTAATTTTTTTAATTGCCCAGGTAATCCTGAGTACATAGACTTACAAATAGTCAATTTTAATAATTCTGTGCAAATTCTTTTAGGTCTAAAAATAACATGTAAGACTAGATTAACATCTACATTAGATGCTGCATAATAACTTAACATTTGAAAACAAAGTCAAGTAACTTACCTGCCCATGACCGGAATGTTGCTATGATTCCCATTTTACTGGCTAGAAACCTTGCTTCTCTGTCTTCTCTGTGTGTGGTAGTGGAGGGGGAGGAAAGAGGGAGTCAAAGAAATATGTTAAAATAAAAAGTGAGTTTTTCCTGGTACTGTATCAGAATAAGCACTATCATTAGTTAGCAATTAAGTATTTACACAGGAAATTAAACAACTTGTTAAAAAAAACAAAGATTAGATGTACCTCAAAGCAAATTACCTAATTACATGGGAAACTCCCTCTCCAATTGAAGATTCACAACATGGTTTAAAATAAGTTACTCCCTCTGTCCCATAATAATAGTAGCAAGTGAATATTTAAACGGGAATTATTGGCGAATGCAGCTCTAAGTTATGTTGTAGCGCAAAATTGCGAAGCCTTCAATCAAAATCAGTGTTTCATGACATCTGTCATTTGTTTTGACACATCTTTCAATTTTTAGGTTAATCTAATTATTACGAATTATAACTATTTTTCTAATTTCATCCGCTGATCGAAATCAATTGTTTTATTTCAGTTGAATATCAACCCATTGTAAAAGTAAGATGAAAAAAACAGAGTTTTCAAGCAAGGATCGAGTTCCGATTGTCCAGTTCTTGATGCATCAAAAGAAAAAGGGAAAGTTGCAGAAAGGTGCAATTACGTTAGCTGCAAAACAATTTAAGTGCAACAGAATGACCATATCAAGAATTTGGAAACGTGCTTCTGAAAATAATTGTTAAGGAGAATCTTATGCTAATGTTGATTCTTTGAAAAAAACAAAACTGTGGACATAAATGCAAAGATTATGAAGAAAAACTTGAAAAACTTAGACATATTCCTCTTAGCAGAAGAGGCACCATATTAGCCTTTGATAATATTTCTCCCGAAATACTGGATAATACGTTTCTGTCACTTCAACAACTTATGCTGGAAGCAACGAAGAACGATGGCTCCAATAATTTTAAGCTCACGCATATAGAGAAAGCAAAGCTTTGCAGCCAAGGGATCCCTACTACAAGTTTAAAATGCAGTAACGAAATTATTGAAAAATCCAGAAACTATCTGAACACTCAAAATAAAAATTAGGAGTACTACTTTTAATTTGTTGTTTAATTTAATCTAGTTTTTTTTATAATAAACTAGAGGCCCAGTGCACAAAAATTTGTGCACTCGGGGGGGAGGGGTGGGCCCCTCAGCCCGGCCTATGCCCTCTCGCAGTCTGGGACTCCTCAGGGGATGACCACCTGCTGGCTTAGGCCCGCTCCCTGGGGGATTGGGCCTAAGATGGCAACCAGACATCCCTCTGGCAGCCCAGCAGCCCTCAGGGGATGTCCACTTGCCAGCGGGGAGAAGGCCTAAACTGCAGTCAGACATCCTTAGCGCTGCTGAGGAGGCAGGAGAGGCTCCCACCACCACCGCTGTACTGGTAGCCATCAGCCTGGCTTGTGGCTGAGCAGAGCTCCCCATGTGAGAGCGCCCTGACCACCAGGGGGCAGCTCCTGCATTGAGCGTCGCCCCCTGGTGGTCAGTGTGTGTCATAGTGACCAGTCATTCTGCTGCTAGGGTCAGTTTGCATATTACCTTTTTACTATATAGGATAGAGGCCTGGTGCACGGGTGGGGGCCGGCTGGTTTGGCCTGAAGGGTGTCCCGGATCAGGGTGGGGGTCCCGCTTGGGTGCCTGGCCAGCCTGGATGAGGGGATGATGGCTGTTTGCAGCTGGTCACACCCCCTTCAGGGTGGGGGTCCCCACTGAGGTGCCTGGCCAGTCTGGATGAGGGGCTGAGGGCCGTTTTCAGGCTGGCGGGTGACTGAAGCTCCCAACCTCTCCTTTTTTTCTTTATTCTGGGATTTATTTACCTTCTATAGCTGTCACTGGAGCTGAGAGCCGGCTTTAGCTCTGAGGCCCGGCTCCAGCTCTGAGACCTTGGCTGCTGAAGGCAGGTATCTGGGTTTGTTTGGCTTCTATAATTGAAACACTGTTGCAGCTCCAGCTCTGAGGCCTGGCTGGCTGAAAGCAGGTTTCTGGGGTTTGTTTAGCAGCTTCTATAATTGCAACATTGTTTCTTAGAGTGCAGCTCAGAGGCCGGCAGCGGTAAGTGGGGAACCCTGGCTTCCTCCATCACTGGAGCAAGCAAGCCTCCTGTTCGCTTCAGCTGCCTGGCTGCCGGCCGCCATCTTGGTTGGCAGTTAATTTGCATATCGCCCTGATTAGCCAATGGGAAGTGTGTCGGAGGTACAGTTAATTACCATGTTTGTCTATTATTAGATAGGATGTTGCATTCTATATTTATTTTCTTTTGCTACTATTATTATGGGACAAATTACATTCATCAACTGCTACTATTATTATGGGACAGAGGGAGTATAAATTTTGACTTTTCTATTTATATTTTCTATTTATATCTCCTGCTCTTTTGGAAAAATATTCTTAGCTAGCTCATTAACACCTTTAATTGAGCATTGGAGACACCACCAGCCTGCTTAGTAAGCATTTCTCTCTGGAGGCTGCCCCTCAGGAGCGAAAACTACCATGTAAACCCCTTACTTTTATCACGTGTATTCAAGTTGCTTCAAAATTTTTACCCAAACTTATTTGAGCATTTTCAACAAGCAAGCTCAACACCTATTCACTGAAATGTTATTAAATAACTGGATAGTGTTAATATCAACAGCTTCTTTCTACTTTGTAGTTGTGTATCCAATCATCTCACTTGTTCCTTTCTATGCAATAGTTTATGACAATTAAGCAACAGAACTATAGTTTTCACCCTTCAACAACACAGGTCTGAACTGCACAGATCCACTTAAATGCAGATTTTTATTTATAAATATGTACAGTACTGTAAATGCATTTCCTCTTCCTTATGATTTTCTTAACATTTTCTTTTTTCTTGCTTATTTTAAGAATGCAGTATATTTGTATTTAAGTTTTGGGGGAGACAAAAATTATACACAATTTTCAATTGTGCAAGGTGTCACACCAAACCTGCATGTTGTCTAGGGGTCAACTGTATTTATATTGGTTAAACATTTTCCATGGGTGACTTATGACATATAGCCGTCTTATAATCCATGCCACCTCAACCATCTCTACCCTGTCAACTGTCCATTTTTTTCTGTGCCCTCTTTTATTCTTCCCTAACAGAGTTCTTAACAGTTTTGAAAATACAGAAATCAAGAGAACTGGGAAAGAAAAAACAGAAGGGATAAAAATTTTAAAAAGTCAGAAAATCAAAGAGCAGTAATCAGGTAGTCTACGAGAGAAATGAAACATTTAAAAACACATACACAAAAACAAACACACTAAGCTCTATAGCATCACTTAAAATGAGAATATAATAGAAACTAAAATGGGGGAGTAAGGATGGTGGAAGAAATGAGAATTGGATAACTGTCTAAGTTTTCAATGCTCCTCTTAAAAATGTTAGTAATATCACTTCTATTGACTGCCTGGTCATCCATTTTCTAACCTACTCACTAAATCTGTAGTATTTAAAAAAACACATTTATTTCCTTATTCCCTGCCACAATGTACTCATGCTCCCCTTAACTGCCCACACTCCAGAAACTTAGTATAAGTAAAGTTCAAACCCAAATAGGAAAAAAAGAATTTGGTGAAATGTATTTTCCCTCTTCTAACTCTAAAAAATACCCCAGGTGCTCTCTTGCTTATCCTGATAAATGCCCCCATCCCCTTGTGATTCTGTGTCCTAATCCCTGGATCCTGTGTACTGTATATGATATCACCACCATGATAGTAATTATTTTATGCTTATAGCCCAGAAGACCCTAAGAAAGGGAGATTGTTGGTAGGCTTGATCCAACTGAAAAGTTTTCTCTAGCTGGTGGCAGACAAGCAAGTCTGAGAGAGATTCAAAGCACAAGGATTCGAGCAATTCTTGCTGTGTTTGAAGATGGAGGGAACCATGTGGCAAAGAAAGAGGGTGGTTTCTAGAAGCTGAGAGTAGGCCCTAGCTGACAGTCAGCAAGGAAACAGAGTCCTAAGTTGTAGAATAGCAAGGAAGTGAATTCTGCCAACAACCTGAGTGAGGTTGAAAATGGATTTTTCACCACAACCTCCAGATAAGAGCCATACCAGACTTCTGAGTTACCAAATTCTGAGCTAATAAAATGATGTTATTTTAACCTGCTACACATTGGTAGTAATTTGTTACAAAGCAATAGAAAATGCATGTGCTCTCCATCAATAAAGAGAATGTCCAAGTGTCATTTAAAAAGTCAAGAAAAGGGGCTTAAAAATCCTGAATTCAAAACTTAGCAAAAACAGGTTTGAGAAGTCTTTTTTATTTTTTATTTTATTTTGTTTAAAGTATTACAGATAGTAGTACATATGTCTCCTTCCAACCCCCCCCCCCCCCATTGACCTTCCCCCGGCCTCCCCTACCCCCTAGCACATGCCCTCACCCGACCCCCCAGTATCTTGTGTCCATTGGTTATGCTTATGTGCATGCATACAAGTCCTTCGGTTGATCTCTTACCTCCCTCCCCCTCCCAAAACTCTCCAGCCTTCCCGCTGTAATTTGACAGTCTGTTCCATGCTTCTCTGCCTCCGTATCTATCTTTTTGTTCATCAGGTTATAATGTTATTATCCATAAATGAGTGAGATCATGTGGTGTTTTTCTTTCACTGACTGGCTTATTTCACTTAGCATAATGCTCTTCAATTCCATCCGAGCTGTTGCAAATGGTAAGAATTCCTTCTGTTTTATAGTAGCATAGTATTCCATTGTGTAGATGTACCATAGTTTTCTAATCCACTCATCTGTTGATGGGCATTTAGGCTGTTTCCAAATTTTGGCTATTGTAAATTGTGCTGCTATGAACATAGGGGTGCATATATCCTTTCTGATTGGTGTTTTTGGTTTCTTGGGATATATTCCTAGAAGTGGTATTACTGGGTCAAATGGCAGTTCCATTTTTAAATTTTTGAGGAAACGCCATAGTTTTCCACAATGGCTGCACCAGTCTGCATTCCCACCAGCAGTGAAGGAGGGTTCCTTTTTCTGCGCATCCTCTCCAGCACCTGTCATTTGTTGATTTGTTGATGATAGCCATTCTGACAGGTGTGAGGTGGTACCTCATTGTCATTTTGATTTGCATCTCTCGGATCATTAGTGACTTTGAGCATGTTTTCATGTGTCTCTTGGCTTTCTGAGTGTCCTCTTTCAAAAAGATTCTATTTAGGTCCTTTGCCCATTTTTTGATTGGATTGTTTATTTTCCTTTTGTTGAGTTGTATGATTTCCCTGTAAATGTTGGAAATTAAACCCTTATCGAAGATAACATTGGCAAATATATTCTCCCATGCAGTGAGCTTTCTTGTTGTGTTGTTGATGGTTTCTTTTGCTGTGCAGAAGCTTTATATTTTGATGTAGTCCCATTTGTTTACTTTCTCCTTAGTCTCTTTTGCCCTAGGATCTGTGTCTGTAAAGATATTGCTACGACATATGTCTGCAATTTTGCTGCCTATGGAGTCTTGTAGGATTTTTATGGTTTCCTGTCTTACATTCAAGTCCTTTAGCCATTTTGAGTTTGTTTCTTAAACAGAGAACATCTTTGCTCAGGACATGATATGCTAGGATGTGGTAAGTCCACAGTGATAAAGGTGATTAAAGATATAAAACCACTATTTTGAATTCCGGAGAAAAATGAAAAACAATAAAAATATAGGGATATTTCACAGTGTTCCAAACTTAGTGAGGAATTTTAATAGCAACAGCTCAAAATAAGCAAGTATGTCTGCAACCCAACAATCCTACTAGGAAAACACCTCATAGCATATTTACTGGAATTGTGTCATACATACAGTACATTATTTGACCTCTGAATCAGTTTAATTAAGTAAAAGGTTATTCTAGAATATCTAGTGAACTAGGTGCTTTTCTCTCCCAAAAGACCCTGAAAATTATCCTCTCATTTCTAAAAAATAATCTTTACTCTAACTCCTTTTACTTCCCTTTGAACCTTACTCTCAAAATTCTACCTACACTATCTTCCTGTTTACTCAATTTGTTAAGGAAGCTCTTCATTCCATCCCCCTTATTTCATTCTTTTAGTCTCTCAATGTAATTATGTTAAAAATACATACAATAAAAAAAAAACAACAACCAAAGATCTAGGTTTCTACTGCAGCCTAACTTACTTTTTAAGAAAATTCTCACCCAAGGATATGGGATATATTTTTAGAGAGAGGAAGGGAGAAGAGAAGAGGTGAATAGGGAGAGAGAGAGAGAGAGAGCGAGAGAGAGAAAAAGAAACATCGATTGGTTGCCTCCTATGCACACCTTGACCAGGATCAAACCCGCAACCCAAGTTTGTGCCCTGACAAGGAATCGAATCCACAACCTTCTGGTGCACAGGATGATGCTCCAAACGACTGTGCCACCAGCCAGAGCATAACTTACATTTTTTAAATAAGAAATTAAATCTAAGTCTTTAATTACATTAGCAGAGACTTACAACATAACTCCATGAAATAATACATTTACTCAAACTCACACTGTTCTGGCTCTACATGCAATCAGACAAATTTAAAACTTTAACAGCAACACACGCCATCTTTAAAGCTATAGGAACACGTGATACTTACTTGAGCTGTCCTTCAGCCGTATCTGGACTATGTCTGTAGTGAAAATCAGTATAGGGCGCTAAAATTCGCTAATAAAAAGAAAAGCAGGAAGAGAAAAAGTGTCCTTATTGTAAAATGCATTCTTTCTGTAACAAGCTAAAATTAATTCTACTTCTCTATATCCTTAATTGGGTATACTGTTTGAGAAACTTATTTCTTTAAATTCATCATCAACAAATATACTTGAGTAATTTTTTAAATGTAGAAACTGAATTTTTGAAATATTGAGGTATAACAGAAATGTATGATTTGATGAATTTTCTCAAACTAAGTGCTCTCCTTTACCCAGCACCAGATGAAGAAAATATCAGCAGCCTCAAAACCTCCTTACCCTCCTTTGTACTCACAAGTCACTACTGACACCCCAGGATTACCACCCTAACCTCTAACATTATGAGTTAGTTTTGCCTATTTCTGAACATTATTTAAATGGTTTTACTTCATAAATTAATTCTGCTCTTGTTGCTAGTATAAAGAAATATAAGCTATTTTTGTGTATTGTCCCTGTATTTAGCAACCTTGCTATAAATTCACTAATTTTAGTACTTTAACCACAATATCTCATTTTCTAAAGTTTCTCACTGCCTATTGCATTACTGATCTGAATTTTAATTTTAAATAATTTAAGATACAGAAGACATCACTGATACTGTTTTTGACAATCAGGATTTTTTTATATTTAGTCATATATATTTTTTTTCCTTCCTCCATTTCCTTGTTTGTCTCAGATCATTTTCCTTCTGATTGAGAACTCCCTCTAGCCATTCTTTCTTTGTTTTTAAACAATACATATTAATTATCTCACATGGTTTCTGTAAGTTAAGGCTACTGATCATCTTTTCCTGATCACCAACTGAGTTAAATTGAGACTATGTTGCAATTTTGATAAGCTATAGTGAGTACACTTCAGTTTTCCTGTGCCTACAGTACGGCCCTCTAGTGCTTTCAATAGAAAGCTTAACAAGTATTTTTCTCCTTAGAGTTTATTTTTTCTTAAGTTTTGAACAAAGATCTTTAGCTATCCATCCAGGATAGCTTTAGATTTGGGGAAATGTCAAGAACAGGAATCAGCTATGAAATGTCCAGTTTGGTCACTTTAGTAACACACAACTGCCAAATGCTCCTCCTGTTTTTCTGATCTCAGCAAAAACCCACGTGGATTTTCAGCTTGTAATTATATCCTGATCAGTAACTGGACCCAGGAAAGAAAGCAATTGCATCATCAGTGTATACTACTTCTTAAAGGCCTTTCATCGTTTGCTCATGGCCCCCTGCCTAGGCCTTTGCATCCTATGCACTGGAGAGTGCAGCATATTCTACTGTGCTTTCCTCAGGTTTTAACATTGCACAGATTCTCATTTCAGCAAATGTCTGGAGGGGTAAGACAGACTTCGTAGACTTTTCATATCTCCAGGCTTGTCATGCCATAACCCCTAGGACTGCCAAATAATCCGGTCTTCTATCTAGGCTTTGGTCCTATTTTTAGTTGTTAGCCCAATCTGCAAGTGCTCCCAAGGGCATCTATGGATCTTCAGGGAAACTCTCCAAGTATCTTCCCTCCTTCCTGGTCCTTGTTGCTTTCACAGCTCTATACTGAATTAAATGTATGAATTCCACAAATACCCAGCTTTTCTTGTTTTCCATAGCAGAAGCTATGAACTACTCTATCTCACTATGAAGTATAAGTTTAATAAATGTTTCTTAAATTTACTTTAAATTACAGTTAATTTACAACCTTTACAGAGTATCTATTTTATTAACATTATTATATTAAATCTACATTTTTTCCTGAGATAAAAACGTATTACATATAATATAAATAGAAGCCAGGGTAAATTTAAAAAAGGGTTTCTAACAGAAGGAAGATCTGGGCCTAACAACAGACAGTAGCACTGAAAATGTTTTTTGTTTTTTTGTATGTAGAAAAGGGAACCAATTATCAATTTACAGTGAAAATTGATAAAATTTAACACATAGAAATGAGGACAATATTCTCTTTGCTGCGGTTTCTACAATGAAGATGATGTTAAAGTAAAAGATGATGATGATAAAGTAGATGATGATGATGTTGAGCACCATCCAAGGCAACCAGTATTAGTTAGGTATTTATTTTGTGCCAAGTACTAAATAAAATATTTTATGTAGATTAGAATTAATATATGAGAAGCACTTGAAAATAATGCCTAACTCATTATAAGCTTTACATTAGTATTAGCTACTGCTATTATTACTGCTACTGCTGCTGCTGCTGCTGCTACCGCTATTATTATAGTACTTATTCTTCACAACTCTTCAAGGTATAAACCATGACCTTCATTTTACCTAAGAATAAATGGGCCCAGGACAGGCTAATAAATAGCCCCAAATCATAAAGCTAGTAGGTCATACAGCAAAAAATCAAAACCAGATCTGTTCAGCCCAAAGTCTATGTGCTTAATCACTGTGCTATTCTGAGGGATCTTGTTAAGGAAAAAAGAAACTAATTTTGTGGTTTTAAAGAACAAGATAGGAGCAAAGATATAGCCATCTACTTAAACATCTAACATATTATTTGAAGTATTTTTCACTTTGGGCTTTTTAATCTGCTTTACAATTAAACAAAAAGGAACAAAAAGGAGGCCTACACATATTATCTTCCTTCACTATAATAATCTTGCCAATCTTAAAATTATAGATTTTTAAAAATAAAACACACACAAAAGAATGTAAAGCTATACATACAGTAAAATGTAAAAAATGCCAGTCTATTCCCATTGGACTACCTAAAGTAATGTATTTAAAATCACATATAGAGAAGAATATTGTACTTAAATCTGTTGGTATGATATAAGCTAATGTCAATGTTATAATCTAAAACATTTTTAATATCCCTAAGAGAAACAAAACTAACATTTAGGACAAATTTTATATAAAATGATTTAGAGAGACAAACTAGGGCACAATAAATCTTTTATACCTGGCATAATTTCAACCCCAATACAAACAAATTGTGAGTTTAAACTTATTCTAAATGATATCTGTAATAAACAACAATGTAGTATAGTCACACAAATAAACTATTAGAATATAGTGTGTGGTAATTCTGTTCTAACTTCCACTATATACTTTATTATAAAAGATTAATTATTTTAGTCTAACTATGAAAAACAATGAATTAGTAAAAAAAATTTTTAATGTCTTCTATTTCTTTCAAGTATATATGGTCATTAGTTGCTAACAAGTGCTTCTAAGTTCAGAGACTTTTAGCATGGTTTAGATAAATAAATGGTGTATTTTTAGCAAGATCTATTCACAAACAACATATTAAAGTCTTTAGCTATAGAATATTGCTGGGAATAAGCCAGTATTAGTAAATTTAGGTTTGATAATGCTTTGCAGCATTTACTTACTTTAAAATTGTGAAGTGAGAGTTGTATTTAAAGTCATTTTAAAACTAGTAAAGAATATTAAAGTTCCTACCTCTAATTCTACATCAGCTCGCACATATTGTCGGGTCTTTGGATGATTAAGGAGGTGCAAAATTGTAGTAATGAGGGCCTCATTTATTCGACTTAATTGGCAATCGATCACGTTTTTCAAGATGGTGTTTAGTCCACCTCGAAGGGCCACCACCTCTGGATTCTGAAGTGCTAAAATAAAAAAGAAAAACTTAATATATTATATAGGGGATAATTAACAAAAAATATTCTGAAATTGGGGCTTTTATTTTAAAACAATTTCCTTTCTGACTTGGAAAACTCTCTAGTCAATGATATTGAAAAGGGCATGTGGATACAATGTGTCTAATAAGAGGCACTGAATATACTTCCCCAACCTCTGATTTTAATTTTTATGTCTCTAAATTGTTTTTTCATATCCTTTGTTCATATTTCACTGGAATGGTTTTTCTTTCCTATTAATTGAAAAGACTTTTTTATATAGTGGGAATATTAGTCCTTTGTTTCAAATCTTTCATCAGATTTGTAACTTTACTTTAGATTTTAAACTCAGATTTTAAGCTCAGGAACTCCTTTTCTTCAAAGATCAGGCACCTCAATGTATGCGTGCACAAACATGAGGTTGAACTTTTTCAATATGTTGTTTGGCCATGCATATATTGCTTTGAGAATTGTCTGTTTTTCCTATTGATCTGTATATAAATAAGTTATTTACTTATCATGTTTGTTACTTTTATTTTCTTTGTTCTTTCATTGTAGGATGTTTTCTTGCCTTCTTACAATAAAATCTAAAGCTGCTGAAATCTGATTTTCTTTGTAATTCAAAATTCCTGTTCCTTACAATGATCAGCAAATATTCATCCACTTTTCTGTTTTCCCCATTTAACTCATTTTTTAAAAATATATTTTTATTGATTTCAGAGAGGAAGGGAGAGGGAGAGATAGATAGAAACATCAATGATGAGAATCATTGATCAGCTGCCTCCTGCACACCCCCTAGTGGGGATTGAGCCCACAACCCAGGCATGTACCCTTGACCAGAATCGAACCTGGGACCTTTTAGTCCACAGGCCAACGCTCTACCCACTGAGCCAAACCAGCTAGGGCATCCCATTTAACTCTTTAATCTTTTTGCATTTAGAATTCCTTTTTTTTTTTTTTAAATGTATGATAGATTATTGCTTTTAACTCACACCAAGATATTAAGATATAGTATGGTTAACAAATGTCTGAAAGACAGACTTAAAGAGATTTGATTTTAATTACCAGAATTTGTACAATTCTTATGTACTAAATTTCATGATGAGAAAAACTTTAAAAGTTATAGTGTTAAGGTCACTTAAGAATTATTTGTTAAATAGCAAGTCCTCTATTCTCCTATCAGTAATGTGTACTACTTTTTCATATCTTTGTTCCAATAACTAAAGAATTTATGTGTTAAAGACATTAAGGAATGTTACATATTCTTTCTAAAATACTACAGTTTTATTACTTAAAATTCTAACCTAGTTCACAGATAATAGCAATGCATGCTCGGACCATTCTGTCTCTTTCTTGAAGTCCATCATTTCCAACTGCTATTAATGAGTTGGCCACAGAGCTAGGAAACAAGGAAGCATTCACAGTAATCATCTGTAACAGGGAGAAATCAGAAAAAGAAGTTACTTACTTCATAATACATTTTTAAAACCTACTTTGCTTGGTTTGAGGTTTTTAAGATTATAGAGTTTTTATAAGATTTAGGCATCACTTTTAATCTTCTGCTTCATATGAACATTTCAAATAATTAATATAACTAATAATTGATGCAACTGATGTTAATATCATTACTATAAAAAAAGTGTTGCTTTTTTCCCTGATAGTCCAGATCATAAATTAGTTGACCAACAAAATTTAATGTTTCTGAGATACTAAGCTCCTCAGGAATAGAATCTACATTTCAAACACTTCTCGATACCTAGACATAGTATATTAGTGGGGACAACAGCTATCAACACACTACTGTACTATTGCATTCCTGACTTCCTTCTCCATATACCCATTTACCTCATTATCTCTACTCTCATCCCCATCAAACTCACTGACGTGGCTCCCCATTCTTTCTCACTTGCTGTAATTAATGTATGATAATCTCCCTATCTGTAGCCATCATTTGTTGCTATTCCAAAAGGCAAAGTTAATAATCTATAATCTATCTTTAGTATTTCAAATTTTACAATAGAAATAGTATGTCTCTGGTGATAAACTTCGGATGAATCTCACTTTAAGTGAAAACTATAATTGGCAATAACATTTGGAAAACTGAAAATAGATAACATGTATCTTCAGTTAGGGAAACAGAAAAAAAAAACAATTATGTAGTGAATGACTGTTTAATAAATAAAGACTATTGGGTAGATGAAGTATTTCAAAATAAATTCCTGAAGTGGGAGTAGAAGAAAATGTTTTCTTTTACTTGGGTGGTGATAAAATATTGGGATAATTAACCTGTCCTAGATATTACTGCATTTATAATCCTGTTGAAAAATAAGACTTTTACTATGAAACAATAAGAGGATGCAATATAACTAAATTAAAGATACCCAGTTAAGTCTTATAAAGGGTCAAAGGAAAGATCTGTATTGACTAGAGTACTTACACATGATTTATGTTATTTAAGAAGCATTATGCAGTATTACAAGGTTCAAATGAAATGATATGATACTGCTCCACAACCATAAAATAGATTTCCAATAACTATAGAAACTACAAAATTCTCACATTCATTTCTTAATCAGTATTTTCTATTCATCAGAAATGTTGGAATAGGAGAGAAGGGAAAGGGGGTATAGAAAACTGATCTTTCTAGATGACAAAATTCTAACTTCTTATGATATTAATTTGTATTTTAATATTTATTGATCTATTATTATGCTTATAAGGAGCTTGTAAGAAAAATTTTCCTCAAAATAAAACGTAATGTATTCTGGAAAGGTAGTTAGGAAGCCAGGCCACTTGGCTCTCAGAGCTAAACCTACCATTAGTAAACTACTAGAGGCCCAATCACAAAATTCGTGTAAGAGTAGGCCTTCATAGTTGCGGCGGCTACCTTGGCCCTCACAGTCCTGGCTTTGTCCTGAATGTAATATAAAAGGTCGTTCTGCTGTTCAGCCATTCGGTCTATTTGCATATTATGCTTTTATTATTATAGATTAACTTGGCCAAATCAATCTTATCAGTGCTTGTTTCCTCATTTATAAAAGGATGCTTATGATTAGATGACTTCTAGAATTTAAAGTATAAAATCTTAATCTATGAAGCTCAAGTGCTATGAAAAAGAATACCTATAATTTATTTATTATTTATTTTTATTTACTTATTTTTTTTTACAAATGAAATCTTATTTTCCAGGGAAATATATGCAAAGAAACTCTCTAATTCTGTGCAAATCAGAAAATACTTTTCTCAAAAATCTGAGTACTCAATAAAGAAAAAGTGATATAATTCATTTCTCTTTAAAGAAAAGTTTAATAACCTTTTTAGGCATGATAGGACAAACAGATATAAACATATTAATGAGTAGGTAATAATTTGTAAACTTCTATAAAGGAATTAGACAGAGTTCTCTAAGGGGAATATCTGAAATTTGAGCTGAGACTGAAAGATGAATATAATGTAGAAAATGGTAAAAATTAACAGAAAGAGTAAGAAAGAATAATGATCTTAACAGTGGCAAAGGGCAGCTTGTCCGCACTTGTCCTATTCCTATATTATAAAAGGGTAATATGCAAATTGACCGAACGGCAAAACAACTGGTCGCTATGATGCACACTGACCAGCAGGGGGGCAGACACTCAAGACAAGAGCTGCCTCCTGGTCGGCAGTGCACTCCAAAAGGGGGAGTGCTGCTCAGCCACAAGCCAGGCTGACGGCTGGCAAGCACAGTGGCGGTGGCGGGAGCGTCTCCTGCCTCCACGGCAGTGCTAAGGAAGTCCGACTGACAGCTCCTGGACTGCTAAAGGGCGCAGGCCGGGCTGAGGGACACCCCCCCCCCCATCACCACCAGTGCACAAATGTTGTGCACCAGGCCTCTAGTAATGGCATAATGAGATAGGTCATAACTGGTTGGACCAAATGCTGGCTCTGAATGCCAAAGTAAGAAGATAGTACATAATACTAAAAATAATTGTGGGCTAAATGGGTTTGACAATCCAAAGAACTAAGTTCTTGCACTGGATATGCCAATTGCTATGAATCAAGGACAAATAATTTCCCTAAATGAATCTCTCTCTTGTCAATTGTAAAAACACACACACACAAAAAAAACCTGATATATTATTAATCTTTTATTACATGCATTAAGAAATGATATATAAAGAAAATGATGGCTTACAATTTAAAGAAAAGCAATAGCTGACCAGTGAAAAAACTATATTGAAAATCAAAGAGATAAGAAAGGATTGCCTGGACTGGAGAGACAAGGGGAAAAAAATCACAGACATGGAAAAAGAAACAAGAAAATAAACAAGAACCTTCCGAATGATTGAAGTAAGTGAAAGTGAAGGAAAAGTAATATGAGTATTCCTTAATTACTCATAGAGCAGTTATCCTAAAGCAACAAATACTTTTACTTTTAAAACTAAAAGAAAATACTTTTACAAAAAAATTTAAAACTTTTTTGCATGCATATAAAAAATCCTCAACAATTATAATATTATCATTAATTTCTACTACCTCAGTTGCCAAGATGTTACTGAAAAAAAGAAATGTTTGCTTTGGTTGTTAAAAGTACTAATGAAATTATAGTTCCTCAGGCGAATAGAGGCCACTGTTCATTTAGCAAGTGTGTTTTCCCTTTAACTGCTTTTAGCTAAACCAAGGAGAAGCCCTGTGTCAGGACTCTTCCTCTGAGCTTATATTCTACCATCAGGTACAAGTAATATTCCTGCTCTTGGATTCACAAACAGTATCTGCCACAAATTGCTAAGTACTTCAGAAGATAACACACAGAATATAATTTTGTTATGGAGTTATTAAATTGTTTTCAAGAATCTGTTTATTTTACTGGCCATTTTGTAACCTGTACAAAAATGTTTACAAAATTGAAATAAAATGTTCTTTAAATAATTTTTTAAAAGTGAATTTAATTGTTTGAATCCATTTGGAGTGGTCTTTTCTTCTGAACACAATTTCAAGGGCAACAATTCTCAAAGTGTGATCTAGGAAACTAAGGGACATTTTCAGGGATTCTGCAAAGGTAAACTGTTTTCATAATAAACCAAAGACCTTATTTGTCTTTTTCTACTCTCATTCTCTCACAAGTATATATTGAAGTTTTCCAGAGACCATTGCATGTGTGAAAACACATCAGATTGAATACCAAAGCAAATATGATAATCCAGCTATCTTCTATCAAGACAGACATTATTTGCAAAAATCTAATATAATGCCACTCTACTCATTTTCTTTTTAAAAATAGTTACTTTTATTAAAATGTTATCTATGTTTACATGTAATGATTATGTTATTTTTAATATGCTAACATATTTTAATGTCTCAATTTAATCCCTAATATGATAAATATTGACATAGATAACTCTAATAACCAAAAAGTTATTCTAGGTTCTTCAGAAACAACTTTGTTTTCTTTTTTTTTAAAAATATGTTATTGATTTTTTACAGAGAGGAAGGGAGAGGGATAGAGAGTTAGACACATCGATGAGAGAGAAATATCGATTAGCTGCCTCCTGCACACTCCCTACTGGGGATGTGCCCGCAACCAAGGTACATGCCCTTGACCGGAATCGAACCTGGGACCCTTGAATCCGCAGGCTGATGCTCTATCCACTGAGCCAAACCGGTTAGGGCGTACAACTTTGTTTTCTTATCTTGAATTCTCAAAATCATGGCAGTAGGAGAGATTGTATGAATAAATCAAATTCATAAATCTAATTTTTAAATGTAAAGACACAAACTATGGTTCCAATATGTTTACCTGTAACAAAAATTCATAATTTCCAATCTCACTCTTTAAAAAAATTACAAACATCTCTTAAGACAACGCATCCATTTACTCTTCCTTACTATGTTCACTAGTAGATACTATTCCTAACACAAGCTAGACAATTGGAAGAAAAAGGAAAAAGAAGGAATCTAGTTAATGTACAAACTCAACACTGCACATTCTGGAGCATGCACTGAATTCCAAGGTGGGGAAAGAGAAAAGCCAAAAAACTTAATTGATAAATAATTTTAGATGTTTTTACATTAAAACAAGCATACACACTTCATGAGTCTCATGAATGTTTAGAACCAAACATGATACTTTAAGATGAAACATGATAAAATTCTTTCACAAGCTACGTCCTAACAAAGCTAACTCGGTTCACTATTCCTCTACCCTTAGGGCATCACATTACATGTAAGAACAAAAACTTTCTTGAAGGCCTCTCACTAGAAGCATTATGGATTAACCTTAACAAATTCTCTTGCAGAAATTGAGATTTTGACTTTTTATCATACACAATGGCCTGAATTCTTATTGCAGCTGCCTATAAATTGTATCCAAATTTATCTTCAAAACAACTATTGCAATTATTTGGGCATCCATTTAATAGTATTAATTCCAAGCATATATTTAAGGGGAAAAATCAAGGGAAGAAGCACGTAGTTCTCTTTTTTCAGTAACATATCAAAACATTAATTTCATTTGCATGTCTACTAAAGAGAGAAATACTCTTTACAATAAACATTTTATAAAAAATATTGCTCTAGCTATACCTAATAACATAGAATAATTACACAAATATTTATGCTCACCTCAAAGTTTCATAAATCTATTTAACTCATATATAATCTTAAAAATATTTACTGAGAATTTAGCTTTAGGTTTTAATAAGAAGATTTCATAAAATAGTCTAAATCTAAAAATGCAAAATACTTAACATGGAAACCATAAATCTGCCTTTACTTTTAGACATGGAGCATACCTTTCTGACTAATCGAAGTGCTTGTGTCCTCTCTACCTCGTTGCTCTGCTGTATGTCAATGCACCTAAATAATAAACAAAATGATTATTGATAAAAGTCTTAACAAGTTTTTGTAAAACAATACCAATAAATCAGACCCATATTCATAATGTTAATATGGTATTTAAAATGTTTAATACACATGAATTTGTAGTACCAGCTGATATTTAGTTAGCTTACATATCTCTAGTGATAAATACTTACTATAATAAAACATTTCAAAACTACTTCATTTACAACTCTAGGAAATGCTATAGAATATAACAAGTAAGTCACAGAATTATATATGTCTATACAGAAATAATAAATATAGAGCAAAGTACTAGAAATCTACTGAGAAATATATTTATCTATCTTTGATAAAATTCAGATATTTTATAAAAAACTGTGAAAGGCAAGTATTTTAAGCTTACAATTTAGTTGTGATTTTAACCAAGGCCTAACTTTTATATGCAGGGGTCGGCAAAAGTAGATTTACAGTTGTGAGCATGTGAAAGTTTATTCTTGCATTAATTATTGTATTATTTTCCCTATGAACAACTGTTAACGAACTTTTGCCCCACCTCTGTATTGTGACTGAGTTAAAAGTTTTATGTACTGGCCACAATAACTCTATTTTGCCAAAATATAATTTGAAATCTGAATGCACTCCAAAAATTAATGCTCAATCAAATATCACTTAATTGACACTTCTCTCTAAAATGTATTAAATTGTTCAATTTCTAGTCTCTGATTAAGTCATTTCATCTGTATTTACACAGGTCATTATTCTAACCAACACTTTATATATAGTTTGCTATTCAAAAGCATTACTTCTCTCTTTATATAATTAATCGAGAGAAATTTTATTAAAACATAAATAGACATAGAATTCCATTTCTGGCCACAACAGAGAGGATTGGCACAGACACACCCTCCTGCCAAACACAATTATAAATGTTGAACAAACTACTTTGTAAAGACACTGTTAAAAGGGCAATGGATAATAATCCTTCTAAAGAGAAGCACAAACTCCACATTCACCCCATGCTTTGTCACTGGGGGCCCATGTCATTCCCTAGTTTTAGGGAAATAGAGTCTTAGCAGAAAGCAAAAGTCCTGTTGGATTGAAGGGACAGGTTGAACTTTGGGACTTGAGGGTGAAATCCCATAGAGAAGAAAATACAGGAAAGTGAGCTCAAATCTGCATACGATACCCTCTTAAAGGTACTTGCCAATTTCTATGTTGTGCAAAAGTAGGATTAAAATCCAAGAAAGCAAGCAAAAAGCTACTGCTGACCTAGTACACTGCTGCTGGGAATGGAGACTGGTGCAGCCACTAGGGAAAAGAGTATGGAGTTTCCTCAAAAAAATTACAAATGAAACTGCCACTTGACCACTAGGAATACATCCTAAGAAGCCCAAAACACCAATCAGAAAGAATATATGCACCCCTATGTTCATAACAGCAAATCAGGAAACAGCCCAAGTGCCCATCAGTAGATGAGTAGATAAAAAAGCTGTGGTACATTTACACCATGGAGTACCATGCAGCTGTGAAAAAGAAGGATCTCTTACCCTTTGAGACAGCATGGAGGGACCTGGAGAGTATTATGCTAAGCGAAATAAGCCAGTCAGAGAAAGACAAGTATCACATGATCTCACTCATAAGTGGAATCTAATGAACAAAATAAACTGATGAACAAAATAGATCTAGAGACATAGAAGCATGGAACAGACTATCAAATGTGGGGGTGGGTGGGTAGGTGGGGAGAGATTAACCAAATAACTTATATGCATATATGCATAACCCATGGACAGAGACAACAGCGTGGGAAGGCCTGGGGGGAGGGAAGGAGAAGTCATTGGGGAAAAAAGGGGACATCTGTAATACTTTCAACAATAAAGATAAATTAAAAAAAAACAAACAAAAAACCTACTGCTGAAAAGTTAAGAAACTGAGCAGAAATTTTAGCAGGTACATAATACCAAGATAGATGTCAGGCCTCAATTCTAGTCAAGGTGAAGAAGTTCTGCTGAATATCTACACTTTCATTTGAGATCAAATAGCCACTTCCTAGAGGAAAGGCAAAGCTAAAACCGTCAGCATGATATGCCAACATTCCAGAATAAATCTTAACTCTCTTAAGGGAAGAATAACATGATCCAGAGCCAAAAATTTGGTATACAATGTTCACATCTAATCAGATAATATAAAATATGCTTTAAACAAACGAAGGGCCAAGTAAAAAAAAAAGTAAGAAAAGAAAATGACAATAGAAACAACACAAGTGATTCACATATTGGAGTTCTCATTACAGGACTCTATAAATAACTATAATTAATATGCTCAAGGAAGTAGAAAATAAAGAAATAGGAGAAACCTAAAATCTTTAAATAAGAGTAAAATAATAGAAAGACAACTAAAATTAAAAATTCAAGAGACTGATTTACTAGCAGGATGGAGGAATTAAAAAAGTCACATTGAAGCACAAAGATTAACAACAAAGAATGAAAGTATAGTAAGGGTATCAGACAAATCGGGGGACAGTGAACGGATGAACAGATTCAACCTATATAGCTGGAGTACCAGAGGATAGGAAAGAATAGAACACCACCAAAAACAACCATTTAAAGTAGCCAGAGGAAAAAAAGACACATCAACCCTAGCTGGTTTGGTTCAGTGGCTAGAGCGTTGACCTGCAGACCAAAGGGTCCTGGGTTTGATTCCAGTCAAGGGCACGTACCTCAGTTGCAGCCTCCTCCCTGGCCCAGGACCTGGTCAGGGCACATGCAGGAGACAACCAATAAATGGGTTTGTCTCACACTGGTATTCCTCTCTGTTTTTCCCTCTCTCTTCCACCAAAAAAAAAATGAATGGAAAAATATCCCCGGGAAAGGATTTAAAAAAAAAAAAAGACACATCACTTACATCACTTATAAAGGAACAACAAAAATGAGCAACAACTTATTGTGCAACAGGTAAAAATAAAATATATCCAAAAAAATTTATTTGAAGCACTGAAAAAATAGTAACAGGTCATTTTAAAAAGCCTTCAAATAGGAAGGCAAAGGAGAGGCATTTACAGAAAATAAAAGATGAGAGAATTTATCTCCAGTAACCTGCACTACAAGAAACAGTAAAGAAAATTCATCAAGCAGACAGAAAGTGATCCAAGATGAAAGTGTGGAAATGCAAAAAGGAAGACTACTGGGGCGCATAAATAATGTAGGTAAATATCAACTGTTGAAGTTTAAAACAATAATAATACTATCCTGTGGGTTAGTAGGTTACAAATATATATAGAAATAATAAATATAGTGATAACACAAAAGAGAGGAAAAGATATAGTCAAACTGTAAGAGGCTTCCTGCATTGTGCTGGTTGTAATAAAAGTGATAGACCTTAATAGGTGAAGGATACATGTTGTTATCTCTACGGCAACTGCTAAAGACGTTAAAAGAAGAGAAAAATTCTTGATCATTCCAATAGAAACAAAAAAGGAAAAACACAAGAACAGAGAACATATGTGACAAATAGAATGCAAATAGCAAGATAGCAAACAAATTCAAATATATGAAAAAACTGGTAACTAAATGACAAATGCATGGGTAATTACATTAGATAAAGTCCAGATACCATTTATATAAAAAAACCACTAAACATAGTCTAAGCACTCCAATTAGAAGACAAAGATGTCAAACCAGAGTTAAAACACAAAACAACACTTGATATTTATAGGAGACACTTAAATGTAAGGACAGAAAAGATAGAAAGTGAGTGAGAAAAGACATATTATACAAACCCTAAATAGAAGAAAGTTGTGCAGCTATATTTAGATAACATGAACACTCATAAAAGAAGTACTACAAGGGACAAAGAGAGATATTTCATAACTATAAAAGGATTCGCCCAATGTGAAGGTTTAGTGATTCTTATTATGAATGCAATAACAAAGCTTCAAAAAAGCAAGAACGGACACAAGAAGTACAAAACCAGAATAGTACTAATAGTACTCTACCTGTTAAAGAAACTGAGTCCATAATCTTAAAACTCCAATAAAGAAAACCCCAGGCCTAGACATACTCACTGGTGAATGCTACTAATCATGTAAGAAAAAAAACAAGACCCATCTAACATAAATTTTTCCACAGAATATAATGAGGGCAAAACTTCCCTAGTTGTTTTATAAAACAATTATACTCTTGCTGTCAAAATCCAAACACGGACATTAGAAGAATGGAAAAACGAAGGCCAATAACTCTCATGAGTATAGCTACAAAAAATTGCCACAAAATATTAGGAAACCAAATTCAGTTATACATGAAAAGGATGAGACATCATGAACAAGTGATGTTTACTTCAGCAATGCAAACAAAAAACAGAAAAAATTCCTCTGAAAGCCTATAGCAAGTTTCATAAATAAGGGTGAAATATTGAATTCTTGTAGTCTGAGTTAAGGAGCAAAACAAAGTTTTCCACCATTTCTAGTCAGTGCAATATTCTAGCCAATGCAATAAGGAAAGAAAAATAAAGATATAAGGATTGGAAAGGGAAAAATAAAATGGTCATCACTTGCAATTAATACTTATGTAATAGAAATTCTAAAATAATTTTAAAAACAATTAGAATCAAAAGTGAATTAATTACATTAAATAAAAATATATAAATTATTAAAATATACCTTAAATAGACCTAACAACTATGTGCAAGATCTGTGCACAGAAACTACAAAATGTTGTTGAGAGAAATTAAAGTTCCAAATAATTAAAGGTTTGGAAGATTCAACATTATTAAGATGTCAACTCATCCCAAATTAACCTAGAGCTTCAATGTAATTACTACTAAAATCCCAGAAACTTTTATGGAAATGGTCAAGATGATTATAAAATATATATGGGAATGCAGATCCCAAAATAGCCAACAGAATCTTGAAGAAACACAGTTGAAAGACTTATATTAACAGGTATCAATATATTCTCAAACTACAGTCATTAACCCTGTGAGAAACTGGGGCAAGAATGGACAAATAGACCAACTAATGAGAATAAAGAATGCAAAATAAATCCATACTTATCTGATACCTGATTTACAACAAGAGTGGCACTAATCTAGAAGTGAAAAAAACCTTTTCAACAAATTCTGCTCATATTTATTTGATAAAAATAAAAATGGCCATTACCTACTAAAATGTATTAAAGAATAAATTCTTTAGGAAAAAACATAGAATACCATCTTCCGAAGAGATCTAAAGCATTAAGCTATAAAACAAACAACCTCTATATTGAATTTTATTAGTTAAGAAAAGTGAAAAGGTAAGGCAGAATGATTTGGAAAAAATATTCTTAATATGCACAGCACATCTGAAAGGAGTCACATACATAAGATATCAAGAACTCCTACAAAACAAGATAGATAATCAAATTTACAAATGAGCAAAAGACAAGGAGGATACCCAAATATAAAAGGTGCTTAACATCACTACCCATCAGGGAAATGCAAATTAAAACCACAAAGGGAATTCACAATGAAAACCACAGTCAAAAGGGTATAAAGACTGAAAATAGCAGGTGCTGATGAGGATGTGGAGAGACCTGAACTCTCAAACATTGTTGCTAAGAATGTAAATCAGGACAATCATGTTGGAAAACTGTTGGCAATATCTATTAAAGCTAAATATACATAAACCTTACGACCCAGCAATTCCACTCCTACATATGTATATATCTGAGAGAAATGAGTGCATACACTAGTATATGCCCATCAACAGAATTATACAGAATGTTTAGGAATGCTTTATTCAAAATAGCTAAACACTGAAAACAAGTCAGAAAATCATCAACAGAATGGACTAACTGTGATCTATTCATAACATGAAATACTACACAGTGATTTGCAACATATGATGTTCAAGAACAGGAAAAACTAGTCTATAAAGAGAAAAGCCTGAACAATGTTTATTACTGGTTGAAGACACAAGGAAACTTGACTGGGATGCTGAAAGTGTTCTATATCTTATTTGGAATAACAGGGAACTTGGTTGTCATATCTGTAAAAATTATCAGGCTCTACACTAAAAATTTGTATTTTATGATAGGTATGCTAAAACTTAATACAAAATTTTTAAAACATATAAAAACATAGATAGTTCCCAGAAAATTACCTGGCTATTAAATAGTCCACTTTCAATTTAAGCACCTTCTGCAGAATAGTGGAGTCCTGGATGAGATATCGAAGAGCTCGTAGCCCTGCTGCCCGCACTTCTTTTGCTTCATTCAATAAAGCCAACCGCAAGCTGTTTGAAAACAGACAAAAAGTTTTGCTGTACAAGTTTCAAATACATATAAAATTGTGGTATAAAATTCTTCCTCAGTTGAAATAAGCAAAACTACTATTTATTTTACACATATAAAAATAATTTTGCTGTAAGCCATGGAACTTCACTAGTGATATTTTTTCATCTGTGCTTCCTTGGTACATTCTCATCAATCAAGAAAATGTTGAGTTTTGTCCTATCTTCTGTAGTTTATTTTACATAAAAAATGGGACATTAAATATGCCTTTTTCACGTTGTAACACATATGCCACTATAATCTATTTCCCTTTATCTGCCTACCTGCTTCCACTCTAAAAAAACCTATTGTGTTTAAACCAGTAAGTAAAAATCTATACTAATAAAAGGGTAATATGCTAATTAGACTGGGAGACCTTCCTGGAGACCTTCTGGACAAAGCCATGGTGGCAGGGCCAAGGCAAAGAAGGTTAGGGGAGATCAGGCCGGGGGGGAGTGGGGGGGGAGCAGTTGGGAGCAAGCAGGCCAGCAGGGGGGGGCCAGTTGGGGGCGAGCAGGCCGGCAGGGGGGAGCAGTTGGGGACAAGCAGGCTGGCCAGGGGGCAGTTGGGGGCAGTTGGAGGCGATCAGGCCAGCAGGGGGGACAGTTTGGGGCAAGCAGGCCGGCAGACAGAGTGGTTAGGGGCAATTAGGCAGGTAGGCAGGTGAGCAGTTAGGAGCCAGCAGTCCTGGATTGCGAGAGGGATCCCAGATTGGAGAGGGTGCAGGCTGGGCTGAAGGACCCCCCCACCCCCCGCACAAATTTCGTGCACTGGGCCACTAGTATTTTATAATGACAGTAGGCACAAATTATATCCTATTAGAGGCCCGGTGCATGAATTCGTGCATGGGTGGGGTCCAGCTGGCCCACCCCGATGGAGGCCCATGGGACCGGGCCGGCAGGGAGGAGGGGCCATGGGCAGTTGGCTGGCCGGCCCCACCCCCGATTGAGCTTGGGGGGGTGGGGGGGCAACTGGAGGCTGGGCCAGTTTGGGGGGGGTGGGGGGCGATCAAGGCCCAGATCAGGCTGGTTGGTTGCCACAGTGCACATCATAGCCATAGGTAGTTCTGGTTGTTCCACTATTCCAGTTGCTGGGTTTTTATATATATATATACATAATGTTATGCCTCTATTAGTGGGCATGAGCAAATCAAGTTTGCCATTTAGAAGTTTAAATTGCAGAACTCCAGGTATTTTTCAACATTAGCTTTGGTTCTTTATATTTAATAATTACAAAATATTAGAACAGGATAACAAACAAAAATTGGAAAACCTGAATTTTTCTAATGTTTAAACAACTGTTTCTATAAGACCAAATATGAGATATTAAAGTATCCTAATTTTAATTTAAAATTACTAAAACTGATTAATACTAAAAACCAGAAGAGAGAAGAAACTGAACTACACTTACCAAATTATAATATCCTCATAGTTAAAACCCAATTTGTCTTCACTGTGGCCAATATCACAAAGAAGCTGTCAGAAAAAAAAACACAAATATGTATGTATTTATTATATATTTTTTTCTATATACATTACTCCTTTAGATTGAAAAATAAAATACTTTTAATAAATTTTTTAAAAAATACGATTCTAGCCCTAACCGGTTTGGCTCAGTGGATAGAGCATTGGCCTGCGGACTGAAGGGTCCCAGGTTCGATTCTGGTCAATGGCATGTACCTTGGTTGCGGGCACATCCCCAGTAGGGGGTGTACAGGAGGCAGCTGATTGATGTTTCTCTCTAATCGATGTTTCTAACTCCCTATCCTTCTCCCTTCCTCTCTGCAAAAAATCAATAAAATATATTTAAAAGAAATACGATTCTATAGTTAAAGGATACAGATTTATTTCTACCGCCTGATGGGTGATAGAAACCACTGAGCATTGATCCAGGAACCAAGAGGTCACTGGTTCAATTCACAGTCAGGGCACATGCCTGAGTTGCAGGCTTGGTCCCCAGTTGGGGGGGTAGGCAGGAGGCAGCCAATATATGATGTTTATCTCGCATCGATATTTCTAGCTCTATTCCTCTCCCTCTCAAAATCAATTAAAAAACATATCTTTTTTAGAAAAGCAAGAAATTGTTCTTTAATATAATTATACCAGACTAGAGGCCTAATGCATGAAATTCGTGCAAGAGTAGGCCTTCCTTCCCCAGGCTGCCGGCACGGCTTCCCTCTGGCACCCAGGACCCAGGCTTCCCTCGAAGCTCTGGCTTCGTCCGGAAGGATGTCCAGTCTAATTAGCATATTATGCTTTTATTATTATAGATAAGAAAACACACTGTTGATGGGATTATAAACTGAAAATATTTTGTGGAATAAACTGAAAAAATGCACCAGGATCAGAAAGTACTTTTGATGATTTATATTAAAATAACCTAAAACATAAAGCACAATATGCTCAGGACATTATTTACAGTAGTAAGGAATTAGAAACCAACTTAAGGAGGAATTCATAAAGGAGGAATCTTATGCAGCTATTAACATCAAAAAGGGAAGTACAAGCATAGGTGATTATTCTCTGCTTGTCTGTATTTTATAAATGTTTACAATAAATATATATTACTTACATTATATATGTGTGTGTGTGTGTGTCTTAACAGTAACATTGATTGACAATTAATCTTACCATCCCTAAGATGGTAAGTATTAGAAAACTAAGTAATACTTTTGTAAATGAGGACAACTTAGGCTTACAGATAGTCATGACTTCCTGAGACCACAAAGCTAGTAAGTGGTAAAGCCAGAAATCAGACTAAACCAGTTTGAGTCCAGAGCTCACTGTGAAAAATATTACTACAACTTTGTGCTGAAATTATTTACACAGGGAGAGGGGAGCAAAGTTGGATATTAAAAAAAAGAATACCTAAATATTACCATCTCACTTCATTTCTCTAGCTTCAAAAGTGGTATGAACCAAGTCTGGAGAACCTCACTCTGGCTAGATACTCAATTTAAACACATAAAATGAGTAAATAAACTTAACTATCATTTGTACCAGAACAGCTAACTAAAAACATACATTTAAAACTTGCCCATTTCCAAGGATTAGAACGCACACACACAAAAATACACTTATCACTATTAAAAACAATTTAGTATGCCCTGGTCAGTGTTGCTCAGTGGTTATAGTGTTGCCCTGAACACCGAAGGGTCCCAGGTTCAATTCCCGGTCAAGGGCATATACATGGTTTCAGGTTTGATCCCTGGCCCTGGTCTGGTACATGTGAGAAGCAACCAATCAATGTGAGGTGTGTCTCTCTTACATGGATATTTCTGTTTCTCTCTCCTCCTTCCCTCTCTCCCTTCCACTCTCTCTAAAAATCAATGGGAAAAATATCCTCTGGTGAGGATTAACAAAATAATAATTTAGTATTTATTTGAGATTTCTCAGATATTTCATATTACTAGCATTGTCACTATATGGTACTACATATTAATAAAAAAGAAAAATCAGAACTGTTTATGATTGTAATCATGGTGTTATTACTCAGATCTTGGACACACTCTAATTCATAAACTTCATAGAAAAATGAAGCTAAGAATTTGTTTATATAAGACATTGAGCTTTTAAAATGGGAAAAGTTACTTTCTTAAAACAATGATTTATATATGTATCAACTAAATTTCCAAAGAGGCAATATTTGCATTCTTCTTCCACAGCGGTAATGAATGTTAAAATGAAATGTTCTGAAATCCTAAAAGTAAATATACACAAGTTTTGTCCTGTCAAGTGTTGGTTTCTCCTCTAAGTGTGTACTTGGTCCTCATTTCCTGAATTATCTTTTTCACACTTGCCAAACAGATTAGATTCAGAGAACATAATTTCCAAATTACCCACCTTCTCAGATCACCGAATATATGACTGTTCACTATTTTACATTTGCTCTAGTTAGCAGTTTTGGTGGAAAAGTAAAACAAAATTCAAAGTTATGTCTATGATCTCATAAAACACAATTTGGAAAGTATTTAGAAATAAGTATTTTCTGCTACCTAATATCAACAAATTTTAATTGCAAGAAACATTTCTGAGGAAAATGTCTATTCAATTGGAAAATGGAAAATCACAAGTAACAACTACAAAGAACAATTTACAATGAAACAGCATATTAGTCTTAATCCATGTCTTTTTTTCAGTGATAGCAAGGGATGCTAGGGCTATGCTTTTAATGGTGGCTAAAATAATGCTTTCAAGATTTTTCAGAATTATAGAAGGACTTATTGATCAATCTCAAATCAAAATACCTTGTTTGAATTAGAATTACCCCAGAGACTAAATTTTCTACACATACATAATTTACATATATCAGAAATAAGAAATTAGAAGGTATTACTAAGAGCCTAACTTCCAATTATTAAAGAAATATAATGTTTACTTTTCATCACCAGGAATTCACCTACAGTAAGATTTAAAATATAATAAGAATTATTTTAATACAAAATTCTTATAGTGACTGACTCACTACCTTACCAATTACCACCTAATTTAAATAACAAAATCCTAAAGTACAAATCAACCCCCTTAATTCTTACTCCAGGAAAGAGGCAGACAGAAATAGCAAGTAAAGCCCTGACTGGTTTGGCTCAGTGGATAGAGCATCAGCCTGTGGACTCAAAGGTCCCGGGTTCGATTCCAGTCAAGAGCACATGCCCGGGATGTGGCTCAATCCCCAGTTGGGGGCGTGCAGGAGGCAGCCGATCAATGATTCTCTCTCATCACTGATGTTTCTATCTCTCTCTCCCTTTCCCTTCCCTGAAATCAATAAAATACATATTTTTAAAAAGAAGAAGAAAAAAAAGAAATAGCAAGTAAAGCACTAAATTGGTGAGTTTAAGCAATGGGACTCTCAGCCACCTCAACTACTGATTGAATTACGAATTAATCCTTAATCTTTAGTAACAATTCCCTCACTATCTTAGCCATTACAGGTAATTTCCTATCTCCTGTATAAGTTCTTGAAATGTAATATTGCCTGCCCTATCACGGAAGTTTGTTACATTAAGAATAAATCACCGATTATGTTTAGAAGTCATTAAAGACCTTGCAAAATCTAAGAATTCTTGGCATAATAGTCACTTAATATGCAAAATTATTAAACATCACTCAACACTTTTCACTGGACTTCTGTTGCTCCCTATTCCATTTGTTTTTGTGACCAGCAGTCACAATGCCTAGCTGAATGTGACCAAATAGGATCAGATTTCATCAGAAAACACAAAGAAAGGGCTACCCTCTCTCTTTTAATGACTGAACGCTGTCTCTTAGTCATTTGGAAATTATCTAAGAATACTAGTAAAGCTAATCTAAAAGAAAACAGAGCTGAAAAATGGAGAGACAGAATGCAATTACCACTGTTCAACCCCTGGGTTTTTTGCCTGAACTTAGGATCCAACATTTGGTATTCCTCATCACGAAAGCAAGTAACTTCTTTTTACTTTAGCTCAGTTGAATTAGGTTTCTTTGTTATTTATAAACCAACTTAAGCATTCGATATCATCAAAAGTCTAAAATTATGAACATAACTGTTAAATTTAATATAAACAAAACAACCCAATAAATTCAATGAAAATATAAAATAGAAGTCTAAACCCACCTCTAGATAATAAAAAATGAGATTAATAAAATTAATTTAAAAAAATATAATAATCAGTTAAAACTGGGCAGATAAATGCTACTCCCATTTTACTCATATTGCTCTGAAGGTTAAATAAATGGTTCTAAATAAGCAACAGATAGAATAACCCAAACTTTTAAGCATCTTATCACAGAGTAGAATTCCACAGCATGCTCTTTTCAGAGGGCACTTTAGAAGTTAATTTTAAAATAAAAAGTACAAATGCTCTTGACTAAGAAATCATACTTCGAAAATTCTATCTTATACAAATATAGCTATAAAAAAGTATATCTATATTTATAGAAAAGGAAAAAATTCTATGGTATATTGGGAAGTAGGAAAAGGCAAATTGCAAATCAATATATCTCATTAAAAAACCTTTGTGTACACACATAAAATAGTAAATAAACTAAGCACTATATTAAATACCTCTTTTTAAGTCTTTTAATCCACACACACACACACACACACACACACACATTTATAATTATACCAGAGAAGGATAAATACTTTCTAAGGGTTCCCTCTGGGGAATGGTATTTTTGTTCCCCCTGAGAATGGGGAGATGGATGGGAAGCATGTGAAAAAGGATTTGCACTATTTACTATATATTGTTCTGTACCATTTTGATACTTTATATTTAGCTTCAACTATTTTTGAAGTTTTTAAAAAGAGAACAAAATAAAGATTCCTTTGGGGGTTTTAATATAAATATGTGAGATTAAATATAGAAAAAGAACTTTTAGAATATAAAAGCTGAAATACTTTCCTCTTTAAAAACAGGTCTTTATGAGCATGTTGATAGTTTTAAAAATAGAATACTAAGATTATATTCATCAGCAGTCTGTTATACACATTACTTTATCTAGTGAAATGATGTCAGGAGGCAAGCATGGCTGTGTGACATTCACATGGTTATAGGATCACATAGCTAACACCCTCACTCTCTTCATACCTTAAAAGGAGGTTTAAAATTCTAGAGATGAAGTCTACCCTATACAACATTTTAGCTCAATGATCTACTAAATTAACTTAATCCTAAAAGCTAGGCTTACACTTAACAAAACAAATGCTAAAACAACAAAAACTCGTATTTAAAAGGCAAAATTTTCCTAATGTAATATAATACCTTTAATTAAACACTTCTTATGTGCCAAGCTTTGGGATAGAGAGGTATATAAGAGGAGAAAAATAAATATTAGCTATAACATATGTTTAAGAAACTCAGTTCAATAAGACAGTAACCTACAACAAATAATAAAAGAACAGATAAAATTTAGTAGACACATATATAACCTGTTATGAGAATACAGAGAAGGATGACCAACTAACTCCTGATTAACAAGCTTACTGGCATCATAATTATTTTTCTCTTTTTCTTAGTCTATAGAGCTATTCTTATGAGATTTCTGAGAATTTCTACATTTTACTCTATAAGGAAATAAATAAAAGCTTTTTAGGAATACCAGGTCTGAAATATGTATTATTAATATGACAAATATTAATAATATATTTATTAATCTACCTCTCCAACAAAATGGAATTCAAAGGCACATTATATTATGATTAAATTCAGTAAGCATTTATTTTGTGCTAGGCATTTAGAGACATTTTATAATAAAACCTATAGACATTTATTTACAGCAGTGATTCTTAATTCTTTCAGAATCCTAGTTGTCAAGAGATGTGAAAGGACATATCTAGGTGTCAACCTAATTATGACAGAAACCATGAATTCAAACAGGACATAAACCTCTATTAATATTTTTAATAGTTAAATCTAAGCAAATGGCAAAGACTTATTGGAGCTGAGTGAAAAATGGTGAAATAAAACTGGAAGTTTAATAGAAGGGAGGGAACCCAGGAGATGCAATCTGCAACCTTGGAACAACTTTAGGTCTTAAAGACTTGACATTATCTGACTAGAACAATGAAGGAAGGTATTTGGAGACTTTTCATCACATTCATAAAAATAAAAACATACATAGGAATATTTTTGAAATTCCCTTCTCAAGCACCTAGTCAGTGTTCTTAAAAGTTGCTTATAAAAAATCACTCTCATCTCATATAAAATAATTTTTTCATCTGTTATATAAAAATAAATGCCAGAATATTCCAAAACTTCACTGAAAACACAAATGTACTTGATCCCCTATGAAAAAAACTAACCTATTTTATATTTACTGCACAACACGTATTGACAAAACAATTTTGTTACATAGTGACTATATACTTATCCCCTTTTACTTCTATACAATCAAATCAAATCCAAGCAATAGTCCAATTATCAGATAGAAAAAAAAATTAAAGATTTTAGAGGGTTAAAACAGTGCTGCTCAAACTTTAATGTACACAGAAATTCACAGGAGAATCTTTATTAAAAATGTAGATTCTGATTCAGTAGGACTGGAATGGGGCTGAAAATAGTGCATTTCAAACAAGCTTCAAGGTGAAGCCAATGCTGCTGGTCTGTGCATCACAGAATAGGAAGAGGTTAAAACATACAATTATCCCTACTTAAAATTGAGAAGAACAATTTATATTTAGTAAACTAAAATGGAAAAATAAATTTTTCCGAAAGAATCCATTCTGGTTTCTATTTATGGCATCACCTCAAATAATAGGCATTTCAATCTTTCCAAAAGTTGGAAACCAAGCACAAAAACATACCAATCCATCAAACTCGGGAATCTTGGCTACTAACAGAAATCAAGTCAATATTTATTTGGGATGAGGGCCCCTGCATTTATCTTAGGCTCTAACTGAGAGCCAGACAATGGGAATAGAGTATCAGGGAAAGAGAGAGGAAGTTCTAGTATTTCTCTGGGAATTATGATGTCTGTGAAATGCAATGCACACGTACTTATGTACAAACATTTATCATATATCATCAAATAAAAATAAGTATAAAAAGGCAAAAACAATACATCACTATGTGTGAATAATAGTGAAAACTGGATTATGGATTTCTCAGTGATCTTTTTTTCTTTATTCTTTTCTGAACCCACCAAATTTTCTACAAGCATTTGAATAATACTTCCCTTATTCAATGACACTTTTAAATTAGAAATCACATGATAAAACCCTGAGAAGCATTAGAGGAAAGCACTAATACTGGGAGAATACTCAAGAATTCTTATTAATGATGGTTAAGAAGCATCCAGTAAGCATACTAAGGAACAAAGAATTGTAGATGATAATATTAATATTCAAGTTACTTACCTTAGTAAAGTTATTCAAATGGCCCAGCTTTCTCATATTTGAAACCCCTTGCAATTTGGCCACATTTTGGAGAATCTCCCTTAAGTTATCAGAAGGTTCTAGAAGAAAAGACAGATAATTCAAAAGAGTATTTTCCTAACCAAACACATAAAACATACAGAATTAAAATGTCACAACTTTGGCTTTTAATATAAATTCTTACTCTCCATCTCAAATCCATCTTCTTAGGTCACATCAAAGTCCATGTGGATGAGTCATCAAATGACCTTCACATTTATACTCCACTCATATCTATGGTCCAACTCTGTATGTCATCATCTGGATTTATTCAATCACTAAATCTTAAATTGCAACACCCCACATTTCACTTCTAGCTACAATGTAGTAATGGACATAAAAAAAACTATCCTATTTGAACCACTAAACAACTGTACAAAATATAGGAAACTATAGCTCAAGAGACTGGGCATCAGCAAGTAAAGAAAAATGATCCGTAAGAGATGAGAAACAAGCAAGTGTGCTCTACAACTGTCCCGGCTTACTGCCTTCTCTATGCAGTCTTCAGGCCTTGGTGCTAGCAGGAGAAACCTAGGCAAACCGTTTGAGTTGAAGAGAGAGAGCTCATCTTGCAAAGGGACCCCTCAAGTAGTCAGTATAGCAATGGTTGGTGCATGTATGTGTGTGAGGAAATTACCACTCAAAAGAATTAAGTAAAGGGAAGAGTACCTTGCATTCATACAGGACAGGGAGCTGTGCTTGTTCCTAAAAGCCAAATTGAGAAGTCTTAGCTCAGTGTGGGTAAAAATCAGATGTAGACTAAACATTTCTTTGACTCCATTTAACAAATCTTCAAATATAAAAGCTTTAAACTGATTCCAAGTAACTAAACTATGTTTCAGATCAAAGCTCAAAAAGATTTATAGGCAGAGAAAAAAATATGAAGCATGTAACAGGGCAAAATTTACAATGTTTATCATCCATTCAAAAATTATCAGGCATGCATGGCAAAAAAGCAGAAAAACATGACCCATACTGAGCCAAAAAAATCAATCAACTGAAAATGCCCCAGAACTGACATAAATGTTAGTATTAGCAGAAGGGGACATTAAAACCGTTTTTATAACTGTAGTCTATACATTCAAAAACTTAGAGGCATGAAAGGTTTACAAATGCTCTCAAACTACGGATGGGAATAACAGCATAGAAGGTAAGAATTGTAAACCTGAAGACAAAGCAACAGAAAATAACCAAAATGCAACAAAAAGAGAAAAAAATAAAAGCACATCAGTGAACTATGGGACTTCAAGCAGCCTAGTATAATTAAAATATGTGTAACTAGAGTCCTCAAAGGAAAGACATGGGGGATAGAAATATTTTTTGAAATAACAGATGAAAACTTTCCAAATTTGATGAAAATAAGCCAATAAATCCAAGAAGCTCAACCAACACCAAACACAAGAAACATGAGAAAACTAGACCAAGCCACATCTTAATCAAATCAAATGCTCAAAATCACTGGTAAAGAAACTCTTAAAAGCAACCAGATTAAAAAAAAAAGAAAAGAAAAATTACATAGAGAAAAGCAAAGAAAGGATGACAGCTGATTTCTTGTGGGAAACAAGCAAGTGAGAAGATAGTTGAACAACATATTTAAAATATTTAAAATAGCCAAAACCGGTTTGGCTCAGTGGATAGATCGTCGGCCTGCGGACTGAAGGGTCCCAGGTTCGATTCTGGTCGAGGGCATGTACCTGGGTTGCGAGCACATCCCCAATAGGAGATGTGCAGGAGGCGGCTGATCGATGTTTCTCTCTCATCGATGTTTCTAACTCTCTATCTCTCTCCCTTCCTCTCTGTAAAAAATCAATAAAATATATTTAAAAAAATATTTAAAATAAAAAATGACATAAGACATGTATAGAAACCATTCTTAGCCCACTTGCTTTACAAAAATAGGCCACATGCAAATATGGCCCCATGGTCAGCAGTTTGCCAACCACTGGTAAAGACTGTCAATTTCTTCAGTTTGCCATACACTATTTTTCTATTAATATACTCAGCATTATATTTGTTTGAAAGAAAACAAAAACACAATCTAAAAAGAAACTGTATCACATGCAGATATTTTAGTGTAAGAGCCATTATGACTTCCTTTGAGATTTTTAAATAAACACAATACCAAGGAATAATTTGTTTTGAATTAGTGTTTTCCTCAGCAAATGAAACTGTTTGCACTGTCCTATTTCACATTTAGCTTGCATCTGTTCATATTCTGTTACACTGGGTGTTAGCCATGACAACCACAAATTGATCATTCATTTAATCTTAGAAATTTTGGATTTATTTTTTAACTCCAATAAAATTCTATCTAATTTTAAGTGATTTTAGAATATGTCCTTAAAATTAGTCACTGAGAGTATCTTAAAAGTGAAATGAAAACAGCTCATCATTGGGTGGGATCAGATCTCATTAAAAAGAATTGCAAGGTCACTGTTACTGGTGAGCCAATGATGTTAAAATGATTTAACTAGATAAGAAAACTTTATAAAAACTTTACAATAACTTTTAAAGGTAATTTAGAACCTGCAGCAATTTGCAGTCAGAATTAAGGATCATTAGAGCCAGTGCGAAATTTACCTAATGGAAATATATAACCTAACCATTTTATATCAATTTTTAATTAGGATGACAGGCACCAAACAAAGAGTTGCACTAAAGTGATGACACTTACTACAATGTAATGATCTGACATGATAGTCAAGATGATTAGTCTGAACAGATATATACTTCATAAAAGCTTGCATATTTCTAATTATTGCCTATTTCTAGGTATAATCTAATTGCAGATTTTTTTTCAAGTACAATCATGTAACAACCACCTTACACAATCATATTCAAAATAAAATCTCATATCTGAGTTCATTCATTCAATAAGTATTAACTGAAAAACTATTATGTCAGGTACATTTTAGGTAGTGGGAATACATCAATAATCAAGACAGAACCTTCTTTAACAAACCTTATATGCAAGTGAAAGGAAACTGACCATCAACAACAATAAGAAAACAAAACAACAAACAACATGCACACAATTTAAAAACTGACAGGAAGTAAGAAGGCAGCACTGAAACAAATGTTTGTCTAATAAATAATGATATAAAATGAACCTAATACACTAGAATACAGATGTTATCATTGTCACTACAAATCAAAGTGAACCAGCCTTTCAACTTCCTTCCCCTCCTCACCCCCTTTCTCTTTTATATAATCCTATATAATAAAAGCCTAATATGCTAAGGGTCCAGTTGACCGGTCAGTCGTTCAACCAATCAAAGCGTAATATGCTAATGATATGCTAAAGCCGCTCAACTGCTCGCTATGATGTGCACTGACCACTGGAGGCAGTCGACCAGTGGCTATGATGTGCACTGACCACCAGGGGGCAGGTGCCCCAACCAGTAGGTTAGCTTGCTGCTGGGATCCGGCCGATTGGGACTGAGCAAGATGGGCTGGACACGCCCTGGAGCCCTCCTGCAGTCCCTCTCCGGTTGGCCAACCTCCCGTGTCCCTCCCCACCCCCAATAGTGCACCAGTGGTGTCCCTCGGCCTGACCTAAATTACCTTAAAAGTCAGGCCGAGGGATTGGTCCCTCGCAATCCAGGACCCCTTGGGGGATGTCAGAGAGCCAGATTTGGCCCGATCCCCAGGCCAGGCTGAGGGACCCCACTGGTACACGAATTCATGCACTGGGCCTCTAGTTAATTATAGGAACTCCCCAACTATGGAAGAATTTCAAGGTTTCTTCATGATATGTTAATTCAAAAGAGTATTAGGGCCATTTTAGACATGAAATACTATAATGCTCATGTGCTACAATGTCCCCATGGTAATGAAATGAGACTCCTGATCTAGCCAGTAAAGTTTCTTCCTTATTGGCTAGAACAGGAGTCTGTAAACTTTTTTTGTAATGGTCCACAGAGTAAGCATTTTATTAGAATTTGTTGGTCGTAAGGTCTCATTGCAATTACTCAACTTGAAGTTGTACCAAGAAAGCAATCATAGAAAATACATAAATGAATAAATATGGGCTATGTTTCAATAAAATGGGCTTGGCTCAAGAGCTGTAGTTTGCCAAATCCTATGCTAGATAGTCAGAACTTAGACTAGGAAAAGTAGTGAGCAAGCTGAGATCAATGTGGCTTTTATTGGGGCAGGGAGAAATGGGAGGAAAAAAAAGAAATTTAAGGAGAGTTTACCTCTTTATTTCTTCCTACTCTATTTGTTTCCAATTTAGCTTCTCTGAAACTGTCCCAATTATAGTGCTATGTGAGAAGTCTAAAGCACAAATGAGATAATCTACTAGGATATTCTCTGAACTCCTGAAGTTTAGGAAACCCGCAGCTGCATAAGGGGAAAGCAAAAAGAAACTGCCTTGCTGGCTATGACGATCAACCTTACAAATGCAAGGAAGCAATGCACAAAAGAACTACTAGAATTATGGTGGCTCCTTTTCCTCTTATTGTGTAATCCTTAGTTCCTGATGCATCTCTCTGGATGTAATGAAATAACTGAAGTCAATGCTAAATATCTAGCAATTTAATATCTTATAAACACACACACACACAGAACCAAGAGAAAACTACAGAAAATAAACCTTTTGTCTATATGTATCTACAGACACATACACACAGACACTCAACTGCTCCTTTGGATTAATTCTCTGTGTATGTGCACATGTGTGTACACACACTCAGATATATGTATATATATATGTGTGTATAAAAATGAATTTATTTTCAAATATTTTCAATATATACTGCTTTTAAGCATGCTGCAATATATTATATTAATATATTTACCTATTAATAAATGTACAACATATAATTGATTTTTATATAAATTTAGGTTCAAATATACATAGTAAATTAAGGTCCACAAACTACTGGCATACAGCTATTTGGGAGTAATGGAAAGAAAGACAATTTTGGAATGAAAAAGAACTGGATTCAAGTGTAGCTTTTTCGTCTATAAACAATGTAACTTTGACTACAAACCATGAAACCTCATGGGCATTCATTTTCTCATATATATAGTGAAAATTGTAATTACCTACGATGAAACCACTATTACAAGATATGAGGGAAAAAATTTGTCTCTGAAACAATTCACCAAGTAAACAAACCCTACAAAAGAATAGAACAGCTATGCCTAAAGGCTGAGACAATTGTGATACACACCCAGCCTGCTAGCATTATTTAAAAGTCATATATTTTCTTGCACAGCTACTTTCCTGTTTCTGTTTTTCTCCATGAAACATAACTATTTATAGTTCAGATCACTTCTCTGACAGGTGGCTTCTAGAAATGTAATTAAGGGCTTCCCTCTCATCTATATATATAAAACCCTAATATGCAAATAGACCGAACGGCAGAAGAACCCATCAATCAAACAATCCATGTCCCCGCCCGGCCCCTCCTGCCATGGCCCCTGGTCCCCTCTCCGCTGGCAGCCCTCCTCCCACTGATGGTGCTCCCATGCACTGACGGTGGCACCAGTGGCCCCGCTCACACTTGCTGAAGGTGCGGAGCGATTGGATCTGGCGCAGCTACTTTCCTGTTTCTGTTTTTCTCCATGAAACATAACTATTTATGCATAACTATTTTGGAATGAAAAAGAACTGGATTCAAGTGTAGCTTTTTCGTCTATAAACAATGTAACTTTGACTACAAACCATGACGTTGCTATGACGTGCACTGACCACA